TGGCTCAGTCATTAAGCATTTGCCTTCGATTTAGGTCATGATCCCAGGATCCTGGGATCCAGCCCCGCATTAGGCTCCCTGCTCAGTGGGAGACCTGCTTCTCCCTCTCCCCCTGCTTGTGTTCCCTCTCTTGCTGTCTCTCTCTCTCTCTCTGTCAAATAAATAAATAAAATCTTTTTTAAAAAAAGAAGTCTTATGAAGGAAAACCATCAGCCAGTGGTGCTTACATACCTTACAGGTAGTGATAAGATTTGGGGAAATGCAGTTTTCTTGGTAAACTGCATTTGCAAATATTTGAAAAACAAACCGTTGTGTATTTTACAGATAGCAAATCAACTTAAGTCAATTCTAAAATGCTACCATCATTTTTACTATCCTCAAATCCAAAGTTCCCTCTAGACAAATGTACAATGTTTGGTAGTTATTCTATCTGCTTTTATACTAACTATATAAAATCTTAATGCTCTATCTTCTATGTTCATTTGTAAAACAAAACAATAGATTTTTATGTAGGTTTCTGGCTAAAACTGAAGCATATGAATACACAGATTTTTGTCTATGATCAAGAAATTTTCAAAAATTAAACTTTCCCTTCAAGTACTTCCAAATTAAAATTATAAATCAGTAAAAATGAACCATGTGGAAATAATGTGAGCATTTGAAGGGCTCTTTTCTGCTATTTTATCAAATTACTGGCACATTGAACTTCCTAGACAAAAATATTCAAAATAACTATGTTCACAGCAGGATTAAAGATTGAATCATCCCTAACAATTTCCGCTACCAAAAAGGGGCAACTGAGAAACATTTAGAAAGTAAATCTAAGTTAACGCACCATCAAAAAAATGAAAAAAAATGCTTACAAAAATGTTTTGCTGGACAAAGTAGTTATGTTCTGAGGGAACATAAAGGTATCACTTTCATGCCTTTAACCTTCTAGCCCCTTGACTGCAGAGAAAAAAATCTCCCTATAAGTTCACTTTTGTTATTGAAATACTTTTTAATAGGTGCTACAAAAATATAATTGTTGATTGTTCTGTCCTGTGCCTCATTTTTGCCTTTCTTAAGGAATGTTCTTAGCTACCTCTAGGAAGGTAGCTAAGATAGAAAAATAGGAATGGGGGCGCCTGGGTGGCTCAGATGGTTAAGCGTCTCCTTCAGCTCAGGTCATGATCCCAGGGTTCTGGGATCAAGCCCCACATCGGGCTCCTGGCTCAGCGAGGAGCCTGCTTCTCCCTCTCCCTCTGCCTCTCTCCCTGCTCATGCTTTCTCTCTCTCTCTCTGTATCTCTGCGTTTTAAATGAATAAATAAAATCTTAAAAAAAAAGAAAGAAAGAAAAATAGGAATGGGGAAGAAATATTTAAAAAACAAGCATAAGGAGCACTATCATGCCATGAAGTAAAGAGGCTATTTGGGGCCAGATCATGACCATCCAAGACCAAGCATAATCATTATTTTGTTAGGTAGAGAAGGGAGTTTATGAGAAGAGTGATTTTGCCAGATCAGTAGAAGACAAATCCCCTGGACTGACCTGAAGAGAGAATGAAGGGAAAGAACTATAAGGATGCTCCTAGAATAGCTCCCTGGGTATCAGTCAGGTCCTGGCTGGAAACAGATAGCAGTCAAACTGGGTAATTTAACAAAGATCAACAAAGGGAATATTACAAAGATGTGAGCGTGGTTTAAGGAAACTCACAAAGAGTAGTGACACAACAGCAAGAGCCATACCAACCTCTAGGCCTGCAGGAACCAGGGAAGCAATTAGAGGAGCTAAGAGAGTGTGTGTGGCTAAATGGAAAGAGCTGCCTGATTGGAGCTACAGCCTTTTAGAGGAACCAGCCAACCCATGGCAATCTGCAGAGGACTAGGGGCATACAGGCCCTCACCTTAAACTCTTTACACCCTCCGATCTTCTGTCATTGCTTCTTGCTAACCACAGCCAGCTGGAAGCCAGGGGCAAATAGCAGAGTAGAGAGAGGATCTGGAGAAGTAGATGGAAGAGACCCAGTCTAGGGATAAGGTAGTGATAGTGGGAATGAAAAGGATACAATATAAGAACACATTTAACAGAACTTTTAGACTGACTGGATTTGGAGTTAAGAAAAGTCAAGGATGAACATCATAGTTTCAGGCCAGAGTAACTAGACTAGAATGATAATAACATCAACTGAGACTGTTTTTACTAACCATTGTATTCCCAAAGTCCAGCATAGTACCTTGAGCATGAAAGGCCTTCCATAAACTTTTATTGGGGAAAAAAAAAACGTGGATGGATGGATAACGGAAGAAGCAAATTTTCATGACTTTTATGTCTAAGTCTTAGTCTTAGACATACTGACTTTAGAGTATTGTGGAAGAGCCCACCAAGTGGTTGGAGATTTCAGTCTGGAGCTCTGAAAAGGAAAGGAATAAAGATGTACCTCTGAGACCCATCTGCACAAAAGTGGCAGCTGACAGAATGAGAGTGGATGAAATGGCATAGAAAGTGGGTATAAAGAGAAAAGCAGAGTCTGATGACCAAATATGGGATCTGTCTGCATTATGGGACAAAAGAAGGTAGGGAAACCAACAAAGAGAAAAAACAAAGGGGAAAAAAAAAAAAACCAAAAGATGTGCAACCATCTGCTGTACTGTTAAAATATATTCACATATATTTGTACATCTTTGGTAGGCTTTCTTTTTCTTGACACTGCAAAATCTTGCCTAACATAAAGATGATACAAATGCAAGCTGGAGACCACCACTCACCTACTTGCCTAAGATTTTTTTTTAAGCCACAAATCCCAATCTTACTAATCTTGTTCACCTTGAATCTAACAGCCAACATTAATCCTTTTTTAAATTTAGAAAAGTCTATTTAACAGGTTTATTCGTTCAATTATGTATTGGGTACCTATTATAAATCCAGAATTATCACTGGCAAAGTGAAAGTAAAAATCAGTCTCCCAGCATAAGGAAATTAAAGTGAGAATTCACTGTTTACCATTTAACACCTTTTGACACTTGCTCTTTTTTTTCTCAAACTCTGAAAATTGAAAGAGGAGCTAAAACCTACAAACGCGTCCTTCCTATCAAAAGCCCAAACATGCCATGTTGTACATTTCTCTTAACCTTTCTTTCTTCCCTACTGTTCCACACAGTCTCAATAATCTTTGTGTCTAATGTCTGGAATATGGCAATCATCCAAATGTTTGTTGAATGAATGAATGAATGAATGAATGAATGAATGGGAAGCTAAGCCAAGCCCAGAACAGCCGTATCAATGTCCGTAACACTCTCCTATGGCAAATCACAAAACCTTTTAAGGGTCAAGGCTAGGTTTAAGGCAGTTATCTAAGATGGCCTTTGACCTAGCCTTGACCTCACAATATGAGTGGTATTAAAGACTTGGTGCTGAGTGTTAAGACAAGGGCAGAAAAAAAAAACCCGCAAATCCTAGAATGTTTTTTGTTTGTTTATAGCAACTCTATTCATAACTGCAACCTAAAATGCTTTTAGAAAAGAGGAAAAAAGAAGGTTATAGCATACTGTCTGATGCATAAAATGTGTTCACTAAATGTTTGATGAGTGAATGAACAAAGGGAAGCTGAGGAAAGATAGTGAGCTCCAGAAACCAAACTCCGGGGCAGGGGGGTGGGGGGGTGGGGGGAGGCAGGTACATAGATGGGACTGTGCCTAATGACCTCTCTAGCTGAAACTCAACTAAATCTATTTCCTAAGGGCTATTATGTCCATTTCCATGGGTAATTTTCTAGCATAACCCCCTCTTCACTACTCCCAACTTCCCATTAAAAAACAAAACCAAACCTGTAAGCCACACAATCAGCCCTGTGCTTCCCAAACTTGATGTACATACTCATCACCCAGAGATCTTGTTAAAAATGAAGGTTCTGAATCATCACATCTGGGTTGAGGCCAGAGACTCTGAAATTCTAACAACTTCTCAGGTGATGCTATACTGCTGGTCAAAAGACCACACATTTTGCGTCTCAAGGGCCTGAAAGACATTGCAGAGAATACGCCTATCGTCTTAAAGCGAGAGTTAAGATAATTCCTACTCCCACATTTCCTAGTTGTATAACCTCAGACAGGTCATTTTATTTCTCTGAGCCTCCTTTTGTGGAATATGATGATTAACAACTGCTAACACTTACTGAGTGCTTACTATGTACCAGGAACTAATGTTTCATATTTTCAACTTATGAATTGGACTTAGGTTAAAAAACCTGTCCAAAGTAGGTACCGTAAAACTAGATGTGATTCTAGGTAGTTTGACCCAAGAACCTGGTGCATAATCACTGTATAAGACTGCCTCTTTAGCTTACTCCCAGGGCGATTAGAAAGGTTAATAATTGGTATTTAGCTAACATTTGTTGAGTGCTCCTATGTTCCAGACCAAGCTGCCTCAGAGGCATATTAACTCATTTATCCTTATAACAGCCCTAAGAGGTAGGTACTATTACCACTGCATCTTACAGGTTTTTAATTAGGCCCAAATACCCGAAGGTCCAACAGAAGTCAGGATTGGAACTCACGCAGTTTCACTGCAGAGCCCAGCGCACTTTTGCCAGAAGCGTGGAGAGGATGCGATCACGGGGCTCTGGGCTACCAGACCTCAGCTCGCCCGGGTGGGCGCCCCCCAGTGCCCACCTAAGGCAGTCTAACTGCCAGCCCCTGTTCGCTCACAAAGCAAACCAAATCTTCCAAAACTAGCTTTATGTGCATCTGTGGAAAATGTCTTTCTCGGTCAACACCCAGGAGCCCCATGAACAGGTTCAGGCTATGGTAAAAATAAAATTTATGTAGTTCCAGAAAGCTGAAAAGCGAAACGTCTTGTGAACTGATTTGCACTGAAATTGGTAACAGTCGCTCCAGGACCCCCTCAAACCGCGACGCCCAAAATTCACACCACCCCGCTCCGCCGCTGCATCCTGGGAGACACAGTCCCAACTGGGCCCTGGAATTCGTAGTCTAGGCTCCCTGCGCCAGCACCGCCTACCTCTGGGCTCCCGCCAAAGAGCCGCCGGTAATCCCATCTGCTCTCCAACACTGCTCTCTGCCGGCCTTTTCTCGGGTTGCCGGGACTGTGAGCCTGTTCCGGGTGCTCCGGAAGCGAAGCTTTCTCTTCCGGAACGAGCTTCTCGGCGACCGCACGTGGTTGGGTTGCCCGGGCTTGAGCCGGCGTTGGCAAAGAAGTTAATTTGAACTGTCTCCCCGGAGCTAATGAGCTCAGGGGGAGCCATGGAGGGCCAGAGCGTGGAGGAATTGCTGGCAAAGGCGGAGCGGGACGAGGCAGAGAAGCTGCAGCGCATCACGGTGCACAAGGAGCTGGAGCTGGAGTTCGACTTGGGTAACCTGCTGGCCTCAGACCGGAACCCCCCGACGGGCCTGCGGCGCGCGGGACCCACGCCGGAGGCTGAGCTGCAGGCCCTGGCGCGGGACAACACGCAGCTGCTCATCAACCAGCTGTGGCAGCTGCCCACGGAGCGCGTGGAGGAGGCGCTGGTGGCGCGGCTGCCGGAGCCCACCACTCGCCTGCCGCGCGAGAAGCCGGTGCCCCGGCCGCGGCCGCTTACCCGCTGGCAGCAGTTCGCGCGCCTCAAGGGCATCCGTCCCAAGAAGAAGACCAATCTGGTGTGGGACGAGGTGAGTGGCCAGTGGCGACGCCGCTGGGGCTACCAGCGCGCCCGCGACGACACCAAGGAATGGTTGATCGAGGTGCCCGGCGGTGCCGACCCCTCAGAGGACCAGTTCGCCAAGCGGATCCAGGCTAAGAAGGAACGGGTGGCCAAGAATGAGTTGAACCGGCTGCGTAACCTGTCTCGCGCGCACAAGATGCAGCTGCCCAGCGCGGCTGGCATGCACCCTACGGGACACCAGAGTAAGGAGGAATTGGGCCGCGCCATGCAGGTGGCCAAGGTCTCCACCGCCTCAGTGGGGCGTTTCCAGGAGCGCTTGCCCAAGGAGAAGGCCCCCCGGGGCTCCGGCAAGAAGAGAAAGTTTCAACCCCTTTTCGGGGACTTTGCAGCGGAGAAAAAGAGCCAGTTGGAGCTGCTGCAGGTGATGAAGAGCAAAAAGCCTCAGTTGGACGTGACAAGGGCCACCAATAAACAGATGAGGGAGGAGGACCAGGAGGAGGCTGCCAAGAGGAAGAAAATGAGCCAGAAGGGCAAGAGAAAGGGAGGCCGGCAGGGTCCTGGGGGCAAAAGGAAAGGTGTCCCGCCCAGCCAGGGAGGGAAGAGGAAAGCGGGCTTGGGAAGCAAGATGAATTCTGGGCCACTTCCCTTGGGCGGCAAGAGGAAAGGAGGGCAACACCAAGGAGGAAAGAGAAGGAAATAATTTTCACCGTCGGACCCATCTGTAAACCAAGAACTATACACTAAATGTTAAATTCTAGTTGGGGCGGGGGGGGGGGGGGGGGGGTGGATGTTGAAGAAGGTGGCCGCTGCCTTCCCTGAGCTTGAGGTTAAAGGGATAGACTGCCCGACCCGCAAGATAGTATGTAAATGTTGGACTCTACAAATTAATGTTTTTCCCACAACCAGGAATTTGGCTGGAGATTAAAGGATGTATTTGAGGACATAAGAATCCGGGAAAGAATTTGGTGGAAACTGAGAATGAGTTCTATTTTTAAACAGACATCTTTTTTTGTTTTTAACTTTGGATATATTGTGAGAGAGAGTTGGTCGTCTTTCAGACTTAAAATTGATTTCTGCATTATTTTTATGACAAGGGAGTGTATCATATGGGGGAACGGAAAGATTACATTTTCAAAACTGGACTTATAAGTAACTCTTATGAAGGTTGTTTAATAAAAGTGTGTATCTAATGTTACTTTTGACATTTTGGCTATTGGTAGAAATTCTAAGTAAAGCCAGGGGATACCTGGTTCAGATTATTTTAGTTTACTTTCTAAAAAACATAAAGCAGGTAATTTATGATGATTTCAGTGATACCAACAGAAGTATGAGTTTTTCTAATAAGTATCAGATACAATATTGAAAGTGTAGTATGACTGGTGTCTCTTTGAAAAAAGATTTTATGCTTTTTAATACTGTGAAAACATTTATTGGCTGTAAATTATAAATGTGGACTTCACTAAATAGTAATAATCCTCAATAATCCAAGAAACACTTAAATCTTTTTCAACATTTATGTCCCCAGTTTTTTTGTTAAACTTCTGGTAGGGTCTGTTTCGAGAAGAGATAAAGAAACCTGCCAAATCTTTACTTGGAGTACTGTTATCTTTGATTCATTTGTCAAACTGACCTTAACTGGTTTGATTAGGAGGTCAAATGTTCATAGCTTTTATGGGTCTCCTTCCCTAATTGATTTCGGTACCCTGAGAAGGATTCATAGTAGATCTAGATTCCAGGGGAGCATTTTTGCTGCTGTTACAGCCCCATGAGCCACTCTACTCAGGTTTTTGGTCTGACAGTTCATAGAAAATTAAAGTTGGGAGTTAATTTTGTCTTTTTTTAGTGTTGCCTCATTTTTATAAGTTATCTTTAGAAATTACTATGGAAGAAAAGATTAATTCAAATTTCATGGTATGTTACTAAAAACACAGATGTTCAATTGTTGCTGTCTTAGGATACTTTCAGGTTAAGTTAAAGTTGAACTTTGCCATCATTGATCAACTCTCCCACTGGGAAGTGGAGCACTTGGCCCTAGAGTATAGTGTAATCATGGAAAGTTTGTAACTACTGATGAAACATTTAATGGTAACTTAACTTCCTCACAAGCTATTCTAGAGCACTTAACACCTTTTAAGTTCTCAACTGTCCAGGGTGTTTTGTTGTTACTGTTTGGTTTTGGGATTTTGGGGGGCGGTTTTTGTTGTTTTTTAGATTTTTGATTTAGCAGTTAGACACAGCACTGGCCCTGTAAAAACAAACAAAACCCTCGGGCTTTTTGCATGGTCCTTATTTACTATTAAAACAGTTTAAATGCAATGTCTTAATAATTTATTGGGAAATAGGAAGGCAAATAGCATTGTAAAGCAATCAGTGGAAAAAGAATGCCCCTTTTTCCCCCTCCCTTTCCCCATATCCCCAGTATGTGAAATAAAGGGTTTTAAGTAGAGAGACTTAAGGAAGTACCCACGATCCTACAAAGCAGTTACCATTACGGCAATTTCGGAGGTGGATGGTGAAATTGCAGGTAGGGCACTTGAGATTTTGACTCGTGGGAAAATGGTCCTGATCCAGAGAAGGCTAACGCGGGGGCAGGGAGAATTTGCATGGGGGGTGGGCAGTCTCAGCCGGGTGGGCGGGAGCAGGAGGGCGGTGGCCGGGATTGGTCCGCAGAAGGGGCGTAGGGGGCGGAGGAGGGGCTACTGGAAGGAAGACGGCACGGCCATGGCTGCAGCCGCTCGCGCCCGTGTCGCGCACTTGCTGAGGCAACTGCAGCGAGCAGCGTGAGTGCAGGGCCGGCCGGCGGGCGGGCGGGCGAGGGACCGGAGGATGCCGCCGTGCCTACGCAGCCCCTCTGGGTGCGACCCGCCGGGCCCCACGCGGCCTTACTCAGGTTACTTTCAAGAACTCGGGGAAGGGGATCCCATTTAGCGTGCTCTCTCCACGTCAGAGCCGTGCGCTCGGTGGGGCCGCATTGTAGCGGGGTGCCATGCAACGCGAGGCAGGTTGCACCCTGCTTGTTCTGCCGTTAAGGAAACAGGCCCAGAGAAGACAGTGCCTGGTTCCATGTCGTGGCAGACATTGGAGGGCTTGGCACAGTGACCAAGACAAATTGATGCATCCAGTCAACACATTTGTATTGGGTGTATATTATGTGCCAAAAACTATTCCAGGCGCTGGGGATACAAAAGTGAAAGACTCTGGAGCAGTTTAAACTTTAGCGGGTAATTGGATGAGGGGACAGGGTTTGTGAAACGGGCCCGGGAGGAACAGAGGGAAGAGAGAGATGGATGTGAGAAATTACCAGGAGCTTCACTCCCTGGCATGTACAGGGAGTCAGGGTATTAAATGTTATGACATGTCTGACTCCCCATCCAGAATTGGCAGGTATATAGTAGCCACCTGATAAATATTTGTGGAATGTACAAATGCACAAGTCAGCCTGGGAAAACATGTAAAATTTGGAGCAAACAGGTAGAGATAAGGGGAAAGGAGGGGGACTAGAGAGGAATTTCAAGTAACTGGGAAGAGCAGCACTACTGGCAAGAGATGTCGCCCCAGGACCTAAAGGAAGTTAAAATCCGGACCTACCTCCATAGAAGGAGGCGAGGATGGAGAAGACAGGCCCTGAATAAGCATATAGCACTTACCAGGCACTTACTATGTGCCAGGCACTGTCCCACATGCTTTACATATACTATTAATAGTAACTGTAATCCTTACGACAACCCTAGGCCATATTGTATTATTATCCTCATATTACAGTTAAAAAGAAAAAAAAGCACGAAGAAAAGGAATCTGTCCAGTGTCACACAGCTAAACAAATGGCGCAGCCATAATCTGAACCCAGATATTCTAGCTTCACAGTCCTTGTTCTCAGTTCTATGCTAAAGAATTTGAATTATGTCCTGTAGATAATAGAAAGTTATGGAAGCAGTAGTTCTCCTGTGAAACACTAATACTTTGAAATGCCCCGTAGGGGGTGGGGGGGAGGAATTCCATGGCTAAATAAATGGGAAACTGCTCACTGCAGCATAGTGCTTTTGGAGTCAGGATAATTAGCACACAGAAGGCTCTGAGAAGTCCTACAGGGTTGGGGGGGAAAAAAAAGGTTAGCTGTATTTAAACTCTTTGTTCTGAATCTGTGTTATTATAAAACTTTTTATCAAGCAACACTATTCATATCCCTTGGAACCAGTGTCATGTAGAACATGTTTTTGGAATGGTTGTATGACAAAGGAGGGTGGCATGATTAGAATTATGTTAGAGCTTTCTGGTGGCAGTGTGCAGTGAAGGGGAAAGACTAGAAGTAATTGTAATGCTTCAGCTAAAAGTGATGGCTTCAGGTACAGGCAGCTGGTACAAGGGGTAGATGTGAGAAATATTGAGGAGTCCATTAAAATCAGCAGGACTTTGTATCTGATTAGTGAGATGGAAGAAGTTGAAGTTTCTGGCTGGGGTATCAGGTAAATATTGGGGCCATTTACCAAGATAGGGACTATAGGAGCATTAGCTTTAGGAGGAAGATTATAACTTACCTTAGGAACTTCAAATTGGACATGCCTCAGGTACATCCAGGTGAAGAAGACCTTCAGCAGGTAATTGATTATATTGTTCTGGAGCTCCGAAGTGAGTTGGAACTCACACAAGCATATAGAAGACAGTTGAAACTCTGGGTGTGGAAGCACAGGCCTTAGCAAACTGTAAACCTAAAAGGGTTGAGAATGAGGTCCCCAGGAGCAGCAATGTGTTGAAGCAGGAGTGGCAAAATGGGGCTTATTTTTTAAATAGGGTATGCATTTAAAAAGTTGGAGATTCAGATAAAATTTTTTGGAAAATTGTGAAATGGCATCATTGGGCCCACATTTCATCTGGAAGGTCTGCCAGGGCTGAGGTGAAGTGGTGGCCACCTCCCTTGAACAAGGCAAGCATTCCAGCTTCCTGAGAGACCCTGGCATATAGTCCACCACTCATTCTGCACACCAGCTACATGGCCAGCCAGGAGCTCTGACCTCTCATTTATATTATCTACCAGCCTCCTTACACACTTGGATTTGCAAATGATTGGCACTTTCAGTGGAGGAAAAGGAGCCAGTATTAAAGGACAGGAACATGGCCAGAGAGGTAGGAGAAAGCCCAGGAGAGAAGGACTGCACATTCACTGTAGATTTGCAGTGTTCTCATTTGTGGGGTATATCAAGAAACAAAACAACCTAATATCCCCGGTGTGTAAGTGTGTAGGTGGGGCAGGTGGGGTGGACAATAAACTAGTAAAATTTAGAGTATATTACAAGTTGCTAGGTATTAAAGAGAAAGTAGAGGATGGGTTGTTGAAGGAGGGAATGCCATTTTAGAGAAGATGGTCAGAGAAGACCTAACTGTATTAGTATCTTATCGCTGCTGTAACAAATTACCATGACCTTGGTGGTGTAAAACAACACACATTTATTCTCTTACAGTTCTGAAGTCCAAAATCAGTCTTACTGGGCCAAAATCAAGGTGTAAGAGGGCCACGCTCCCTTCAGAGGTTCTAGAGGAGAATCCATTATCTTGCTCTTTCCAGCTTCTGGAGCTGCACTTTTTGCAACAGTAGATTGTAGCTCCTTCCCCCATCTTCACAGCCAGCAAAGGTAGCCACTTGCTTCAGTGGTCACATTACTTTTATGTCAGATCTCCTTCTGCCTCTTTCGTAGAAAGATGCTTCCGATTACATTTAGGGCCCACCCAGATAATCCAGGATAATCTTTCCATCTCAAAATCTTTAATTTAATCACATCTGTAGAGTCCCTTTTGCTTTATAATGTTCACAGGTTCCAGGTATTAGGACCTGAATATCTTCAGGGTCTCAGCCAACCACACTCACTAAGAAGGTAACTGAGAAGGAAGACCCATGGAAGGAAGGAGCGAGCCATGTGGCTCTCTGGGAAAGTACTTAGAGGTGGGGAATACCAGCATGGTTTCAGAACATGGTGACTGGAGCAGAGTGAGTGAGGGGGAGATGAGGTCAGAGATGTTGGGGGCCAGCAGGGGAACAGCCAAGGATGAGCCCAAGGTGTTTTGGCCTAAACAACTGGAAGAATGAAGTTGCCATTAAACTGAGGTGGGGAAGAGGCTTTAAGGGAAGACCAGGAACTGAAACTTAGGTGGGAGCTGAAATGCCTAAGACACGTTCAAGTGGAGCTGTCAGGCAGCTGAATCGAGTTCAAGCAAGCCATCTAAACCAGAAGGATAAAGGGGGAAATTGTCAGATGGAAGGCACTTAAGACCACGAGACAAGATATGGTCACTCAGGGAGTGAGAGTGGAAAGAAAAGGGAAGGATCCACAGGCCGGTCCCTGGGACCCTCCAGCATTCAGAGTCAATAGCATGAAAAGAACCTAGGCCAGGAGCAGCCTGGAAGCCAAGGGAAGAAAGTGTTTCCAGGGAGAAGGGAGTGGATAGAAGGATGCTGCTGCCAGTTTGGGCAAGATGAGGACTGCACTCAGAACTGAGTGGTATATTAGCAAGGTGAAGGGCATTAGTGACCTGGTAAACTGTTAGTGGAGTCATAGGGCAAAGGTCAGTTGGAGGGGGTCCCAGAGAGAATGGGAGAAGAGAAATTGGAGAACAGGTATAGTCATCTAAAGGCAAGGAGAGCAGTGGGGACAGCATCAGGAGAGGGAAGAAGGACAAGAGAAGGCTGTTAATATAAAAAGGGAAAAACACGGGATGCCTGGGTGGCTCAGTCGGTTAAGCGTCTGTCTTCAGCTCAGGTCATGATCCGAGAGTCCTGGGATCGAGTCCTGCATCGGGCTCCTTGCTTGGCGGGGAGCCTGTTTCTCCCTCTGCCTGCCATTCCCCCCACTTGTGCTCTCTCTCTTTCTCTCTCTCTGACAAATAAAATCTTGAAAAAATATATTTAAAAATTAAAAGATTTAAAGATTAAAAAGGGAAAAACAATATTTTATGTTGGTGGATAAGATCTACTGGGAGGGAAATCTTGATGCAGGACAGAGAAGATGATACAGTGATGTCCTTGAGTAAAGGGGGGGGGTGGCGACTGGTGAGATTTAGTGCACAGGAGAGGGGCTGACTTTTGCTGAAAGCTTGGCCAGTTTATCCTGGCCAGTGATACTGGGAGGAAGGCCAGAATAATCAGGCCAGAGCCAGAGGGTGGGTGAATGAGAGCCTTGCTCTCCCATGGTTTCCTCAGCTTCTCAACAGTAGAGAAGCCCATCAGTGGTTTCAGGCTATCCTAAGAAGGTGGGGGAACCCACAGTCTGTTCTGCCTACCCCAGCTCAGGTTCTATGTCTTGGCACACCAGGAAAAGAGAGAAAAAGTTCAGAGGATTTTAAACATCTACATTTATTTATTTATTTATTCATTTACTTATTTCTTCAATCAGTATTCCTTTAATTGGTATTAGTTTGTGCCTGTTACAATGCTAACCATTACGGATAAAGTTGTGATAAAGGGTAGATCTTGTCTTGCCACCACAAAATTTACAATCTAGAGGCAGATGCAAACAGGAGAATGGTACCAACAATACAGTGTGATAATGGTTCTAATGGGGAGGGAGGCGTGGTATAGACCACAGGGGGAGAGGGCCTACCTGGGGCCTCCAGCCTTAAGGAAGACTGCCCAGGGGAAGTGACAATTCAACAGACACTAGAAAGGACACTAATTACCTGGAAGAAGAGGGGGAAACATGTTCCAGGCAGAGGAAATAACAAGGACAAAGTTCTGGAGGCAAGAAAGAGAATGTGTGGCCCATTCAAGGAAAAGAACAAATTTTCCAGGAGCTCCAGAGGATGGACGGAGATAAGGGACCAGGCTAGAGAGATTAGCTGGGCCTGTGAAGCAGGGCCAGGTCTGAACTTTATCCAAAAAGCCATGGGAGGGGGAGTTGGGGGCATCATTGGAAATAAGCCCCTGACCACTGTGTAGCTCAGGGGGAGCCAAGAGAAGCCTGTTAGGGACTCTCTGTAGTTATCCAGATGAGAGATGACACTGAAACCAGAGACTGTCAGAGGACCCAAGAGAGGTGGATGGATTTGGGTAGAGAAATATTGGGGGGCCTTGATGAGTGGTTTGCTATAAAGGGTGAGAGGTGAGCCCAGGATAGAACTCAATATTTAAGGAATGAGCAGAGTGGGAAAGGAGCTGGAAAAAGAATAATTAGAGGAAACCCAGGTGAGTGGGGAGTCCTGGAAGCCGAGGAAAGCATTTCACCCACCCAAGGAGGGGTGGCCCAGTGTTCATTGCTAGGAGACCAAGGTCCTGGGGGGTCGGGGGTCTGAGAAGTAAGACTACAGCAGGAAAGCTGAGACTTGTTGAGACAGCAGCCAGATTTCAGGGAGCCAAGCAATGTGTGGGAGGCAAGAAAATGGAGCCAGCAGACCTAGGCCAGGAGGGGAGGCCCAGAGAGGGTGAGCAAGCCAGAGGGGAAAAGAGGTTGAGAGACTTTGAAGCATGAAACGAACTCTTAAATACAATGACAAAGATCTAGTGAGGGGGAAGACGAGGAAACACAGGATAGATGGAGGCCCCAAGAAGGCAAGAGAGGATGGAATTCAAACCACAAGAAATAGAAATGATTAATCAAGGCGGCCTCAAACCTTAAAAATATAAAATAAAAAGAAGGGGGAGGGGTGTAGGAAAGCATGTGCTCCCAAGGCCCTGGGCAGTGGAAAGTTTTGAGTCTGGAGATGTTCTTCCCTTTGCCTCCACTTTCTTGTCCTTGGAGGGTGTAAAGCAGGGAAAGTTCTCCAAAGAGAGCCCACCTGTGAAGGACAACGCCTTGGCCTTGCCTGCTGTGTTTTCCCTGCTGCAGCCTGAGAATGGCTCACGCCGCCGGGATGCTCCCGGGACTCTCAACACTCGGCATTTTCAGCCGTGTCCAGGAGGTGGCAGCCTTGACTCATGGTGGCGCTCACACCCGCTTCCCACGTCTGCTTTGACTTAAATCTGTTTTTGAGATCTTGATCACCATTGAGTTGAACACTTTTCCTTCCTTCCCCACCTTCCCCCTCAGATGTTCTCGCTCCAAATTTGAACGGTGGAGGGGGGGGTATGCCCCGGATCTACTGGGACCCCACTAGGACAAGGTCCTCTGGCAAGAAATAGAAACATAAAACCCTTTGGTGACGCTCAAATGCATAGCGAACAGGAGAAAGGGACTGTGCAGGAAATGGGAGGCGACAGAGACTAGGAAGGGAAATGGAGCCAAGGGTAGAGAAGTGGACTGGGAACTGAGAAGAGGTGAGGGATTCGGGGAGGAGAGGGTGATGGGCATGAGTGCACTTCAGGCCACTGGGGAGCAGGGGACACGGCCACTGGCCCTGGGGCGGGGACCAGCACAGGGAGGCACCCAAGGGGCTGGCAGGTCCCTGGGGCTGGGCCCAGAAAGGATGGAGGCATGAGGTAGTGACCAGCGAGGCCTGCAGGCCCAGTGAGGGCTTCTCAGAGGCCCAGGCCCACAGTCTGTTTCAAGAAAATTAAACACCTTGAAGACAATGGGAAAATACAAGTTCCCCGGGTGGGGGCAATGGGAGGGGAGGTGCATTGAGTAGTTAATCCTGGGTCAATTTGGTCAAAGCTCCTAACCTGGTAAAAGAGCTGGAACCTCCTAGAGCACTGAGACCCCATCTCAAACTTCCTTGTAGTCCCAGAGGGCTTACCTCAGCTTCCTGCAGACATTTATTGAGCACCAACTGAATAATTCCTGAAAGAATGTTCCTGCAACCCTGGAAAGACTCTGAGTGGACTTCTTGTCCATGATGATTTCTGGATTTTCCTACGTAGCGTTTGCCAATAGCGACTACTTTGATAGCATCTCAAGACTAGAATGCAGTGTGAGTCACATTAAAGCATCCTATCTTTTGGTTTTCTAGTTTCACTTTTCTTTTTTTCTTTTCCGCAGATGCCGGTGCCCAACTCATTCTCATACTTACTCCCAAGGTAATAATACATTTTCTGGTTTTAAAGTGGCCCAAATTTCCAATCCCTCCATTGGCCCTCATAATACATTTGGGCAAAGGATAAATCAAGGGATGTGCGAGGAAAGTTGAAATGGTTGCCTTTTCACTTACAACTGGCAGCATCTAGTTCTGATTATATGATGGGAGCTGAACGTATGCTACTGATTGATTATATGTTTGGCTCAAGTATATATTTAATGCTATTTATGATGTTTTTTCTATTTTAAATAGAATTATTTGCCAAAGCTAAAAATGGGGGCACAGATGAGATTTTAAGATTGTCTGAGTTAATCAAACACAATTAACCAAGATGAACTCTTTGGATCGTTTTAATACGTCTCAGGAAAGAAAGAGGCTAAAGAGCAAAGCAGTTCCTAGAAGGAAGAAACTTGTTTATATCAATTTTTTTTTTAAAGTAACATTCTGTTTCTTAGTAATTAAAAATGACAAAAGTTTTCAGTTCCCACAAACATCTTAATCCTTCCCAACTCCATTGTCCACAGAGCAGCAGGAAGCTCATTGTAGCTTCAGCGTGTCCTCAGAATGTCACATGAATTACTGACACAAAAACTGATTTCACCTCTTAGAAGGAAAGGTCAAATCTAAACAGCACAGTGAGAATGGAAATGAGGGGGGCTGCCCATACAGGAAACTAAGCAGAACCCACAGAGAAGCCTGTTGGGGAGTAGAACAGATAGAGTGACTGAGGGCTTTTTCCTGCCACTGGTGTGGCTCACCATTTAGGACAAGCCAAGGGACCTCCCAGTCATTAATGACCATCTGCCAGGTGAAAGCATGCCCAGCCTTTTAGGTCCTCATGGACATACGCAGAATTTTGTCTTCAGCTGGTTCTTTCCAATTCTTAGTTTATTTCAACCAAGAATTAGTAGTCTCCTGTTTGGGGGCATAAAATTAATAATTTAAAGAAAGATAATCTCACTGTTTCCTAGGATTCAATTTATGACTTTTCCTAAACTTCAGTAGCAAGAGTAATAGATTATTTCATTACAGTGGATAAGGCAAGAAATTTGAATTTTGATTAAGGATACCCTTGCCCTCAGGAATCCAAAGGTAAATTGTTGTCTAGTTGTGGCCTCTTGTTCTTTAAAAAAAAAAAAAAATGGTAGTGGAAATTGTTGCAGACTTCTTTTTCAATCTTATGACTGACCAGGAGTGATGAAAACAAAGATAAAACTCATTAAGTGATGGAGCCCCGCATCGGGCTCCCTGCTCCGCGGGAAGCCTGCTTCTCCCTCTCTCATTCCCCCTGCTTGTGTTCTCTCTCTCGCTGTGTCTCTCTGTCAAATAAATAAATAAAATCTTAAAAAAAAAAACAAACTCATTAAGTGAAGCCTTCTTGTTCTAATATGACAGGAAATCATTTCTGCCATAACTGAAACCTGATAACATTACAAAGAAATATCAGTTTATAAAAATTTTTATTAAATCTCATAAATAAAACTAAATTTTTACATGCTTTAACTTGAAAAATATAAATTTCTTACTGTGATCATTTTTTCTGCACGGAAAAATTTTAATTCAAACAACTGATCACAATTGTTATAAGAAATATAAGCAAGACTCTAATTAATGAATTTACTAATAGTTGTTCTCTAACAGTAATCCAACTCGAGTCTAGAGGGGTTTTTTTTTCCCCTAGAGGATTTTTAGACATTGTTTCAAAAGTATATTTTAATTTCAATGAAGAAAATATTTTAAATAACTTTTTTTTTTAAAGATTTTATTTATTTATTTGAGAGAGAGAGACAGAGAGAGAGCATGAGAGGGGGGAGGGTTGGGAGGGTCAGAGGGAGAAGCAGACTCCCTGCTGAGCAGGGAGCCCAATGCGGGACTCGATCCAGGGACTCCAGGATCATGACCTGAGCCGAAGGCAGTCGCTTAACCAACTGAGCCACCCAGGCGCCCTTAAATAACTATTTTCACACAATCAGCATCAAGTTAATATTACATTCTCTTAAAATGCAAGTTTTAATTTCAATTTGATAGACAACAATGAAACTTGAAAATGTATTTTAGCTAAGGCTTTTTCTTTTCTTTATAGGTAAGGCTTTTTAAGGGAGATGCTTATGTTCACTGCTGAAATACCAATTTACTAACAAAAACCATTATTTTTGCTTTGTTTTTGAGGCCTACTCTGATGCTAATTTCTACATTTCTAGCTCCTGGATTTGCACCTTCTGGGAAATCAACAGATTATGCCTTTGAGGTAGATATAATCAATCCATTCTTTCTCTTTATGAATGACTTGAAAAAATACTAGAGTATTTTGCTAATGCATTGTTATCTCATTTGAAGTCTACTATTAATTGGTGTTCCCTAATCTCATTATTTGACGAGACCCTATTTAGCAATAGAGGTAATGGAACTGGAATACAAATCTTCTGATAACATGAGTAATGTCTAGAATACTGTCTTTTGTTCAGCCATCAAAACAGGACAGATTCCCAGTTCTACAAACGTCTCCAACATATGTTGTATGTTACAGTTTAGTTTTGTAATTATAACAATCCTAAAAGAGGCCCAAGTAATCTTTTGAAGCAAGAATAAAGGAGCAATGAATTCTGATGAATTTTTATCACACCATAATTACATAATTATTTGATTAAATTTATGTCTCCTCCTCGTTCAGGAGTCATAAATTAAAATGAAGGCCACGCTAAGGAATATATACTTTATTCTCTACACAGTAAGGAACCATTCATTTCATTTATAGGTTTTTAGAAGTGAAACACACCCTATACCTAAATCTTTTTTTTTTTTTTTCCCTCAGATGGCCATTTCAAATATTAGATACGGAGCAGGAGTTACAAAGGAAGTGGGAATGGCAAGTATTTAAGATTCCTACAGTCTTCCATTATAAATGTTACATGTCTTTTAAAGCAAATGCAAATTGACAACAATTGAGCCCTTTGTTGTTAAAAATGTACAGTGTTAAATTTGCCAGAGAGAGAGAGTCTATTACAGTTCTCGGGCAATCAAACCTAACTTACAAATTATTTTTGTTGTTGTAGGACCTACAAAACATGGGTGCTAAAAATGTGTGTTTGATGACAGATAAGAACCTCTCCCAGCTCCCTCCCGTACAAATGGTTATGGATTCCCTAGTGAAGAATGGCATAAATTTTAAGGTTTATGATAATGTGAGGGTGGAACCAACTGATAGAAGGTATTATTTTATTGTTGCTATTTACTTTATGTAGAAGCCAACACATCTCACTGTTGCCTAAAACTTGCTCCAGGCCTTGTTTAATGGCGTGGCGATTTATTTCTGAAAAAATATGACCTAACTATGGCTTTTATTTTCCCTTCTCCAAGCTTCATGGAAGCTATTGAGTTTGTCAAAAGGGGAGCTTTTGATGCCTACGTTGCTGTCGGTGGCGGCTCCACCATGGACACCTGTAAAGCCGCTAATCTGTATGCGTCCAGCCCTCACTCTGATTTCCTAGATTATGTCAATGCCCCCATTGGGAAGGGAAAGCCTGTGTCTGTGCCTCTGAAGCCTCTGATTGCAGGTAAAGACTGTTTGTGTGTTTGTATGTTTTGTTTTGCAGTTGGCAAAAGGCCTCAGGAAAGATGCAAGCCAGGAATGTTAGGGTATACGTTCCCAAAGCTTTGTGATTTCTTCATTTCAGTGTAGTACATTGTTTGGAGAGCAGAACAGATAGCAGTTCATTGATGTTTAAAATTCTGATCTTCATTTATTGCGCAGATAGAGACAATTTGGGTCAGTGGTAGGGCAGTTTGCAGATTTATGCTAGGAAGTCACTGTGTGAAGGAGGAGGGAAGGTTATCATTTCCATATTATTAGATCCCTCTGCTGGCAGGTTGGTCTTCTAAACCTCTCTGCTTTGTCCCATTCTGCAAGCCACTGTGGAGTATAAGGGGAACATTCGCTATTATTTTTCTGGTGTTGACTCAACCCTTTCTTCCACACAATGGCTCTTTAGCTGACCTGGGGCTTTGTCTCTTCCCTGGGACATGTGGCCAGCATGGCTGCATCACTCTGGGCAACATCTGCTCTGTGGCTGCCCTTGGGGACAGACACGCAAATCCAAATCAGAATAGCTTGTCTGTCCCCGCACAGCCCTTGGGATCTCTTGGTCTTCCCTCCCTCCCATTTTATAGCATATTACTATTTAAAGTTTTATAGTGAAAATGCACTAACTGGTAACTGGACAATATCTGTCTGAAGTTTTGTCCTCTCTCTTCTCCCCCTCGTCTGCCCCCACTGTGAGTGGGCCTTGTGATGGTATAGGAGTAAGCTGAAGGCAGATGAACTGCTTTGACATGAATGAGCAATCAGCAGGGAGCACCATAATTGATGTCTGGCAAATGGAACCCTCTGGTGAAACTATGTCAGCATCACACAGAGGGGTGATTAGTAAAGTTTAGAAACTTGACAGAACTACAAAACCACAGAGCCCAGCAAAGGCAGAACGTTACTGTGCTTGCTGCCAAGAAGGAATAAAGATGTCTTTTAGAGAAGGCAAATATGAATTTTCTAACCAAGATGCCGAGCAGCCTGTGTTTGAATGCCCAGCTGCAGCTGCATAAGCTCGGGTGCTAGAGTGCCCAGAGTTCCTAGCTGTTAACACAGAAACAGACATTACACATACATGTTAAACATACACACGTGTTAATACAGACATGGACACCTACATACATGTTAGGCCTGGATACATGTTGGCACAGGCACTGACATCCTACATATGTGTTAATACCGATATAGGTATCCCACATTCTCATCGAAGTGCACATATATGTTAGACATGCCTACACGTTATGCAGACATGGACACCATGCATGTGAAACGTGTGCATATTAATGCAGACGCTGCCATCACATATGCATATTAAACATGTATGTTAATGCTGATAGGCATACTATTGCGCATGCATGTTAATGCAGACGTGGACACACATGTGAAGCCTATGTGCGGATTAATATAGATATAGACCTCAGGTGAGCAACAGGGGCATCAGAGCTTCCTTCTCTAACTTTGTTCCTTGCTTCCTAAGGCTGAATTAAGTATCTCCACTGACTTTTATTTAGATGCATTATGTAAATTAATATTATTTTGTTCAAGTCCCAACTACCTCAGGAACTGGGAGTGAAACTACGGGAGTTGCCATCTTTGACTATGAACACTTGAAAGTAAAAACTGGTAAGAACTGTGCCCATAAAAATTGTGTTTAATTCTCTCTCACCTTTCAACCCCACCTCCTTTTCTTTAATCCTAATATTTAAAAATCAAGGAGTTTAGAGTTAAGTACACACACACACACACACACATTTTCTTTCTTTTTCCAACTACATATCAAAATACGAAACAGTCTAATAAACTTTTTTTTGAGAATTACCTACAAAAGCCTCTTGCAATGCCATAATCTTGATTGGACTTTTCTCTGCCCAAGTTAGTAACTGTACATCCGTGGTGAATGATTATTCCCTTCCTTGGACATCTTTTCAATATTTTTTTTCCTTTCACCATTTTAAATCAGTTTCATTGAGACACAATTTTTATATAATAAAATGCATACATTTTTAAGAGTCAGTTTGATGAATTTTGACAGATACACCCATGTAACCACTACCCCAATCAAAGTATAAAACATTCCCATCACTCCAGAGAGATCCAAAAGTCCCAGGCAGAATAAATTGGTATTTGACTGCACATTTATAGTAACTTCTCTTTTTCAAATTAAATTACATTAACCTTTGACATTATTAAAGATAATAGTAGCCAATACTTGAATTCTACTTTACAGTTTTCCCAAGACTTTTACATAATATTTTCTAATACGAGCCTTACATCAGCTATGAGGGATAGAAGCCCTATATTGTTATGATCTAATAGAGAATTCAGAGAGACTAAGTGACTCGCCCAAAGATACATAGCAAGCTGCAGAACCAGGACCCAAACCAGTGGTGAGCTAGTAAACCAGCTCTCTGGAATGTAATCAGGAACTTAATGGCCAACTTGTAGTATTGTCAATTTCTTTGGTGTAAATACTCCCACCATAGCCAGTGACACCATTCAAACCAGCGTTGGGAAGAGAGGTACACACTTGGCTCCTTCAAACCAGAAGGAGCTTCAGATCCACTGAAAAACCCAGGTTTCTGACTCCAGACCTCTTTCCACTGTTCTTGCTGCCTCCCTTCATGAGAATGAATCTCATCTCGTATTTTTAATTTTTTAAGAATTGCTATCCTTAAGTAACTTAATTTTTTAAAATGGTGTCCATACCTTTCCCCTCTATTGAAAATCCCTGTCTTAGGCATTGCTTCCCGAGCCATCAAACCCACACTGGGACTGATCGATCCTCTGCACACCCTGCACATGCCTGACCGGGTGGTTGCCAACAGTGGCTTCGATGTGCTTTGGTAGGTACCGGTGCCAACTGGAGGGGCTTTTCCAGCCCCTGAGTCTATGGACAGTATTTTCTTGCTGAAAGCACTTGCTAAGCAGACATCGATTAGTGTTCCACAACCACGCCAGCTTTGGCTGTCCTTATCCCCTTTCCCAGATGAAAACGCAGAACCTGTAAAGGTTGGTGACTAGGTGGGCTCCTGGGTAAGCCATAGACCACTGTCCAGGATCAACCAGGCCAGCCACAGCGGCTGCCACAGGGACACAGCAAAAGGAGCAGGCGGAGCTGGTGTGCAGCATCTCAGACCCACAGCACCTGCCTCTATGGCTACAGGAAGCAGGAAACAGCCAGGACTGCCACGGCACGGAAGAGGGCAGGAAAGGGAGCGGACATTTCACCACGTCAGCACTTTGCACACATCACCACTTCACTACAGCTCTGAGCCACACGAGAAAGAAACCTGGCTTGGAGATGTAGTGACTTGCCAGAGTCATACTGCATGTTCCCTGGGCCTTAGCTGCGATGTGCTACTGGATCCCTGATCAGGACACCGTCCACATTCAGCATGTCCCAAACTACCTGTTTCATCCACTTGCACGTGCACATTTTTTCACATTCTACATCTCCGAACTCAGAACACATCTTACGATCTGTGGCACAACTGTATGGTTTTCTTCTTCAGTGGTACATTTTTTTTAACTGGTGCATCTTACAATGCATGGCATCTTAAATTCGATGAAATCTGATTCTTCTCTAACTTCCCCCACCACCTCACAGCTTCTCCTGGATCCCTTAAGTTAGTGAGCAGCAGGACTTACTATGAACTTCTTTCTCGTGCCCACACATAGCCCAGTATTTCCTACCACTTGTCCTGCTTGAATCTCTCCTATCTGCTCCCTCCTCTCGAGCCTCATTGTTCCCACCTTGGTTCAGACCTGCCCAAGTCTTGCTTGGACAGTTGCAGTAGTCTCCTTGTCAGTCTCCCTTCTTCCATCCCATAGTCCTTCTGTCTGTCCTCCATAACAGCCTCAGCAAACACATATACATGCGTGCACACACACATACCTCTGCCTGACAAGTCTTTTAGTGGCTTTCCACGCCTACTGCCAGAAGGCCAAATTTCTTTGGCCCTGGAATGTCCCCAATGCTCAGCTCTTTATCTGTTTGGAACATTCATCTTCCAGTTCCAATGGAGCATTCTCCCCTTTATGGAGCCTTTGCTGACCCCCACCCCCTTTCCTCTCCTCAGGTACAACTGACCACTCCGTTCTTTGCTTTTCCCCATTGGGTGGGCTATACATTCTAAGACACTTCCATTTCACATGCCCATCTCCTTCACTGCACTGTGAGCTTGATGAGGACAGGACCATCTTTCTCACTTCTCCATCCCTGTCCCTTAGCACAGTGACTGTCACATCCTAGGTATTTGGTTAATATCTCCCGACATGGACACCTCATTCTTGCATTGCCCACAGACTGAACAGATTAAGAACCATAAAGCCATAAAAGCATCTACCAACTATTTAAAAAAAAAATTCCAGTGGTTTGTTCAAAAGGTTTTATCTGCTTCTCAGGTGTAGAAGAATTTCTCCATTCTAAGACTGAAAACCATAATTCATGCCCGAAACAGTTCATGTTACATTGTGTTCCCAATGCATCATTGATCTAGATAGCTATGCTTTTTTTTTCTCTTCTGTAATTGATTCATTAGAATTGATAGCACCCCAGCAGGTGGAGGAAATTCTGAAGCTTGGTTCTTGAAATAGCCAACCTTTAGTTTAGGGCATGTCAGAAAAAAGAACTGAATTTTTTTTCAGGCCAAAATTTAATAATAACAGTGAATGGTAAGTTTTACAATGTGCTGCTCATTATTCTAAGTACTTTACATGTACCACCTCATTTAATTTTCACAGCAGCACCCGGAAGGCATAGTAGTATTTGTCCTTGTCTTAGAGTCACAGGTTAGCTAGTGACTTACCCCAGGCCTGCAACAGGAAGGTCTGGTGCCAGGATTTACAGCTGACCCCAGCGTCTGTGTTCTCACCTATTGCACCGCACTCTTAATAGGAGGTTCATATAACTATGACCCTCCTTGGGTGATATGGTATTTGATCAGTGCAAGGTATAAAATGATAAATATTTTTTACAAGGAAATCATTTTTTAGATTCAGTGCTTTTCTTCATGACACAAATATGTAAAAATTCAACATCATAAAGATTTATTCACACTAGAAAGGGGCCACATGTAATCCAGTAATACATACTGGTCAAAAAACACTGTAATGCTGTTAATATAAACTTCACTGTTAATTTCTATAATAAGCAACGACTATTGTGGGCAAGAGTCTGACCTGCTGGGATGCACTGTGATTATCACTGCTACAGAGCATATCTGCAATGGAGTGAATACTGAACATGTCCAAGAGAGTCTGTGATCTGAATGGAGGGAAAAAAGAAGAAGGTGCTTTCAATCTGTGTGTTTTAAATATTTCTCATTAGCCATGCCCTGGAGTCCTACACTGCCCTCCCCTACCACATGCGGAGCCCCTGCCCTTCAAATCCTATCACCCGGCCAGCATACCAGGGCAGCAACCCAATCAGCGACATTTGGGCAGTCCATGCACTTCGGATCGTCGCTAAGTATCTGAAGAGGTATGTGGCCCAAAGGAGATAGAAATGGAACGGAAGGGGTGCCTGGCTGGCTCAGTCAATAAAGCATGCAAATCTTGATCTTGGGGTTGTAAGTTTGAGCCCCAAAATGGATGTCGAATTACTTAAAAATAAAATCGAAAGAAAGAAAAAGGAAGGAAGGGAGGGAGGGAGGGAAGAAATAGAACAGGAAAACCACATTCCACCCTCACATAAAATATAGCGTGCCAGATCCTGAAATATCCTGAGCACGCCTGTTGATCAAAAGATCAGTCAGTGGACACAGAGGAGCACCAGAGACCAGCAGGTTCTGGAAGGATGAAAAGGATGGGGAGGGACGCACCTGAGGTCAGATGAAACCTGAGTCCTTCAGTCTGAAAAGGCAAAGGCAAAGGAACAAAATATGAGCCCCTGATTTCTGAAGGATGCATCTAGAAGGCTTATTCATCAAAGCCTCGAAACCAGAGCTCAGGTGAGGGCAGATGTCCTTTGAGATTTGGCTACACCAAGAGCTGAAATGAGACCCAGAGAAGCAGATGTTGGCTGTGCCCATGCAGGCCCTGTCCAGAGGCACACAGAGTCAACCCATTAAGCAAACTAACATGAACTGAATTTAAAAAATGAATGTGTAGAGTTGTCTGTCCCAGGAGATATAAAAAGCTTTCTGAAAGATTTCAAAGGATTTATGAATGATGTAGCCATGATTGGCTCCCAAGTGAGCAAAGATATACTTAGAGATGAAAGCTGATCCCTGAGACAGTAAGACCTATGCAAAGCCAGACTCAATTTGTACACATAACAGAGGGAAAGAGCACAGCAGGTTGGACCTAGATGTGAACATGGTGCTTCCTCTGGCCCCGAGCTGGAAGCTGCACTAGAGAGGGAGCTCAGTCTACATTTTGTAGTAAAGCAAAGGGAAAGGACACAGAACTATTTCAGGAGACCATCAGGGAGCAGGGTAGCATTTGACTGGGTAGATGCAAATACAGATAATGGCCAGTGCGTGAGAGAGGGGCAGAAGGCTTGGCAGAGCGCAGTGGAAGGTGAGGGGGTGTAAAGGACAGAGGAAAAGCTAAAGCACCATCATCTGCTCTTTCATCTTGGTATTCAGGGAATAAGAAACTAACCCTGGGTTTGGAAAGGAGCCACAGATGCCTAACCATTCCAAATGAAAGGAGATAAAAGGCTGTAGCACTCTTACTGCATAACAGGAACCCTTACTCCAGGCAAAATCGTGAAAAGCAAGCAAGGGGTGGTTTGTCATTCTTGGCAGTCAGGCTTCTTCCCTGGGGCAGGGTTTCTAAGCAAGTGTGTGCAGGATGGTTGAGCTGCATCTGCAAGGGGCCTTTGAGAATTTGCTTTTACAAAGTGGCATCAGGACATCTAGAGCGAGCAAAGGCTCATCCTACAATAACATCCCACTTCCATAAGGATAAATATTAAAATAACATGTGTAGTTTCCACAGATACTAAAAGAGGCCTCCAGAGGGTTCTATTTGGGGCAGTGTCACAGAAAGAAAGATGGCTGGGCAGGCTGCGTTTAGCCTGCAGGTAGCCCTGGGCAACAGGGACTCATTTCAGAGAAGTAGTCTGGGCCCTGTGCATTCTGAGTGTATGTTTACTTGGCCACAGTCAAGATCACTGACAAATGAAGAAGAAGAATGAGTCTCCGGGCACATTTCTAGAGCAGCTCACAGTCCAAGGGTCAGTGCTTTGCTTCCCCTGGCACTTTTATCACATGAGCAGCCTGACAGCATATTTATTATGCCTTTGCCCAAAACCACTGATGAGAAAATATGTTTCCCTTTGGTTTTCGTTGAGAAGACAAGATGTCGTTTGAATAAGTTGCCTAATTTTTCTTCCTACCAAGTAGAATTTCTTTTTTCACAGATCTTTCCCTAAGGCAGCTTTTTATTCAGTAGGAAACGCCGGTGTTGATGTAGGTATTTATATCATCCACAGGGCTGTCAGAAACCCTGACGATCTTGAAGCGAGGTCTAATATGCACTTGGCAAGTGCTTTTGCTGGCATTGGCTTTGGAAATGCTGGTGTTCATCTGTGGTGAGCGAACTTGAGATTTTATTTCTTCACCTAAGTTATTGCTTTTATTTTTAAAAAATGTTTATAATTTAGGACAAGTGGTAAGATCTAAACATGCTATAGAAAGAAGGAATTTAACTTAGGGTCCTGGAATGTTTTCTTAATTCAAATGTAATTTGTTGGGTCATAGTTTTTTTTTTTTAAGTTTTATTATTTTTCTAAAATATATTCTACCCCTAATGTGGGGCTTAAACTCACAACCCTGAGATCAAGAATCACATGCTCCACCGACTGAGCCAGCCAGGCGCCCTCATAGATTTTTCTTTTATAACAGCCTTATTGAGATACAATTCACACACTATAAAATTTACCCATTCAAAATGTATAATTCAGTGGGATTTAGCATATTCATGGAGTTGTACAGCCATTACCACAATTGATTTTAGAACATCTTATTGCCCTGAGAAGAAATTCCATTCCCCTTGGCTGTCACCCATCAATCCTCCTACACCCCCCAGTCGTAAGCAACTACTAATCTACTTTCTGTCTTTATAGATTTGCCTACTCTGGATATTTTATATAAATGGAATTATATAATATGTGGTCATTTGTACCTTTAGCTTAGCATGTTTTCATGGTTCATCCATACATGCATCAGTATGTCATTCCTTTTTATTGCCAAGTAATATTCCACTGGATGGATATGCCACATTTTATTTCTCCATTCATCAGAAGATGGACATTGGACTGTTTCCACTTTGGGGCTATTATGAATAATGCTGCTATGAACATTTGTGTATAAGTTTTTTGTGTGGATATATGTTTTCATTTCTACTGAGTATATACCTAGGAGTAGAGTTATTAGGTCATACAGTAGCTCTCTGTTTAAGTTTTGAGGAACTAGTGTTGTTATCCACAGCAGCTACACCATTTTACACTCCCATAAGCAGTGGATAAGGGTTCTGATTTCTCCACATCCTCACCATGTGTTGTGGATTTTTAAAACCTCAAATGCAAGAATTTTTTTTTCTCTTAATCTCTCACAAAAAGAAAGGGATCAGAATCCTTGTCAGTAGCCCAGAATTTATTTGTTTGATCAGAACTTTATTGGTATGATGCCTTAACACTGAATACCTGTGATCACTGAGAATTAAGAATAGGCCTTTGCTATGGACGGTGCAGTGAAGTCACCCCCAAACTCAGCTGCTGAGAGCACATATTGATACCACCTTTCTAAAAAGCAGGTGGGGTTCCTATGTGGCGCAGTCCATTAAGCGTCCAACTCTTGGTTTCGGCTCTTGTTGTGATCTCAGGGTCATGGGATCAAGCCCTGTGTCGGACTCCACCCTCAGTGCAGAGTCTGCTTAGGATTCTCTCCCCCTCTCCCTCTGTCCCTTCTGCTTGTTCTCTCTGTCTCTCTGTCTCTCTCAAGTAAATAAATAAATCTTTAAAAATAAATAAATAAATAATAAAATAAAAAACAAGTGAGCAAAATCTCCCAAGAGCTTGAAAAATGTTTATATCCTTGGGCCCACTAATTTTAGTCCTATGAATGTAGCCTAAAGAAATCATCATATGATCAAAGAATTTCCTAAGTGGTATGTATAATGGAAAATTTTGGAAACAACCTAATTTCCAACAGTTTAGGAATGGTTAACTGAAATGCAGTACTCAAAAAATAAAATAAGGCTATTAAAAATAATGTTTTAGAAGAATAGAAAATGATATGGGAAAATGTTTATAAAAAATATTAAGTAACCAAAGCAATGTTTGAAACTATATGCACATATGATCATAAATTAAAGATATGCATAAAAAGACTAGAAGAAACATCCTATAATGGTTATCTTGAAGAAATAGGATTATGGACCATTCTAAGTTTTACGAAAAACATATACAACTCTTAAAAGAAATCAAACTAAGATGTTGGGTATTGTTAGAAAGTTACTTTTGAAAGCTACATGAACCCTTTCACATCATGAAAGCACACTAAGCAATAATTTTCCAAATACTGTGAAGCCCAAGAAAGGTCAAGCACATTCCTAAGTAAACAGCAATTCAGAGAACCAATAGCTTCTGATCCATCTCACGAAAGTGATAGGCAAGGGATACCTTTTTTGGATAAGTAATCATATAGTTCACCAAAATACTCTGTCTTCTTATGAAATGTAAATCTTTTGCTGAATAAGCCCAAAGTCATCCAATAACCCACATAAAAAGACTTACAGACCATTTTACTATTGTAAAGCATTTCATTTACAATATATTAATTATAAATATATAAGCTTCTCACAGTATATATCTTGAGTCATCTAGTAAACTATAATATTGTCCTGTTTGTTCACCAAAAATTTGAGAGTATATAAAAAGTGTTTTTTCATTAGAACAAATCAAACCCCACAAATAAAAACCATGATGCCTTTTCTTGATAGCCTTTCAAACCACAATAATCATTTATGAGTCAACTCTATTAGTATGTAACATTTGAAAGGATGTATCAGTTATCGATGGGGCAGATCACTGGAGGGTCAAGCTTGCATGTCTAACACAGCACATCTTGGCTCACAGAGCTCCCTCCCACATCATCAGCTGTGCAGGAGCACGCTGCCAAGGCGGTGCCAGCCGAAACAGAAAACGCGTGCCCTCGAGCTTATTAAAGAAACTTCAGAGTGAATTCTTGATTTCTTCAAGATCGTCAGGTTAATCTACGTGTTTGGGAAGCAATTTCTGCATTTGACATACAATTCTATGAGCTTTTGAAGCTGAACATTTCAGAGGTTTTGTTAACGAATACACAAAATGTCCAAAGCAATAATATATTGTTGTATCAAAGAAAACAGAATGTATCACTTTGTGAGATGACTGTATTGTCAAGAGACTGTGAAGGGCTCTCCCATAAAAGTATGTTTGTTTTGTTAATTTGAATTTCTGATAGCTGTATGTAAACCTAAGGACTTTCTTTCTTTTCTAGCCATGGAATGTCTTACCCAATTTCAGGCTTAGTGAAGACATACAAAGCAAAGGATTATAATGTGGATCACCCACTGGTGGTAAAATCATAATAAATTCTTTAATTAAATTTCATGTTCTTTGCAGTTGCCATAAATGTATCTGTTAAATGTATTTGTCAATTCTTGATTGCTTGGAGTACAGGCTAAAGTAATTTAATATCTAGAATATGCAGGTTAAAGACCCAACTTTGCCCCATTAGTCACCACATTTTGTTTCTCTTCAGCCTCATGGCCTTTCTGTGGTACTCACCTCCCCAGCGGTATTCACTTTCACAGCACAGATGTCTCCTGAACGGCACCTGGAAACAGCAGAAATACTGGGTACGAACCATTACTCATAAATCTGTGACCCACGTATGTGGAGCATTTTGTAGGGTTGCTTCTGAGGATAAAACATAAAGGATAATAATACCCATAAAGTTGCTTTGGAATAGTTTAATAATAAAATCTGAGTGACCTGCCTACAGTCCTATCTAGCACTAAAATTCTATAATTTTGCTTCTAATAATCTATTAGCAATGAAATGGAACCAAATATTGCTTATGTTAAATTTGTAGTAATGATACTTCTCGTTTTCATTCCCAAGGAACATGAGACTCTTTACATAGTATTAATGTTGTGAATGGTTTTTGCTACGTTCAGTGGGTAATAAAATGAATCTAATTCAGGAAGTAACAGTACCTTCCCAATTATAGAAAATCTAAACAGCTAGAAACTTTATAAAAGGATCCCAAAAGAAGAACTTGTTTTGCTGCTCTGTAGAATAAATAATGTCTATAACAAGACACCCACAGTGCTTTTTGAATCTCACAAGCAAAAAAATTATATTCAGGGGCGCCTGGGTGGCTCAGTTGGTTAAGCGACTGCCTTCGGCTCAGGTCATGATCCCGGAGTCCCGGGATCGAGTCCCGCGTCGGGCTCCCTGCTCGGCAGGGAATCTGCTTTTCCCTCTGACCCTCCCCCCTCTCATGTGCTTGCTCTCTCTCATTCTCTCTCAAATAAATAAATTTTTTTAAAAAATCTTTAAAAAAAATTATATTCAGGCTAGCTTTAGTGTTAAGTAAAAATTTTTGGTATTTTTCTAAGATGAGAACTCTTTCAAGTAGACTTTCAGAATTTGATTAACTTTCCAAACATTTTATTCCCCTACTTGTGTTTAGGGTAGGAAGGGAAAAGCTAAAAAGAAAACTTCATTATGCTCTTCAAGCTCCAGCCGTTGGGAGAGGTTATTTCCAAGAAGGTAGGCATGACCACAGACTCCACGTGTCCTGCTTCCCCTCCACATCTCTCTCACACTGACGTGTGTGCTTTCGTAGAGTTCCAGGTGCTGGGCTGTGCTGGGAATGCTAATGAGAGAAGTCCAGGGTAGAGAAGCAGTGCAGGGACCTGATTTCCCAGCATGGGCTACTGGAAATATGGTGCCTACCTTAGCAAGGATCTTGTGTCCCTTTTCCCTTTCGGGTTGGGGCTGTTTTTTTAGCCATTCTGGGGACTCAGATAGATGCCCGGTAAATACGCAGTGTAAGTAGGAAGGAACCCAAATAGTAGGCTAGATGTATGGTAAATGGGAAAGTCTGAGAGAACTCAAAGCTAAAATTCCAGGCAACCAACAACGTTACTGAGAAAGCAATTCCTCCAGTAGACAAAACTCAGGGTAGAACGCACCAATTCTTTCTCCTTGCATAGGAAGTTTTGTTTAATGTGATTCCATACTTAGCCATTAAATATTTTAATTCCCTATGTAATCTTAGATTTTCCTAGCTTTATACCAGTTTATTCTCTTTCCTACCCTCTCTTTTTTTCTCAAACACTTCACAGGAAAACCCAGAGGCTTTGATGCTATGTTTTATGGCAGCAATCCCAGGAACATAAAAACCTCATAAACTTTATATCGTGTGTCACCTTTCCACCTAATCCATATTTCAGCTGCCACTGTGTAATACAGACTGGTCTTGTCAGGCAAGGTTTACCTTCCATCCAGCCACGCTCCCAACTAGCCCCGTTTCGGGTTCTATTTAGACCTTTTCCTGGAATACTAAAACAGTTCTTGCTGTCATAGAAGAAAAGGTTAAAACTAATTGAATAGTGTGCTTCAGTAGGGACATAAACTATACATTCTAGTCTCCTTTTGAACAATACAGAGAAAGTAGCCTTGACTCAACATGAGGCATTTTGGATAATGACTTACGCCACATCTGTTTGTCGAGTGCTTCACTTCCTGGCAGTGAATGTGTTCGACTAGAACGGGTGAGGGGCTGGAGTGCTAAGGGTCTGGGGACTCTCACTGCTACCCTGCCTGAGGGCAGAACCCCTAGCTCTTCCACACTGATGTCTCTACGATTTCATGTACTGATTATTTTTTTTTAAAGATTTTATTTATTTATTCATGAGAGACAGGGAGAGAGAGAGAGAGGCAGAGGCAGAGGGAGAAGCAGGCTCCCTGCTGAGCAGGGAACCCGATGTGGGACTCGATCCCAGGACCTCGGGATCTTGACCCGAGCCGAAGGCAGATGCTTAACCATCTGAGCCACCCAGGCGCCCTCATGTACTAATTATTAATCATGTCCAAATTTCCACCCCTTGGCAACCTTCTTCCCCCTTCACCAACATCATTATTATCTACAGAGTAAATACTGTTTTCTTTTTTTTTTAAGATTTTATTTTTTTGACAGAGAGAGACACAGCAAGAGAGGGAACACAAGCAGGGGGAGTGGGAGAGGGAGAAGCAGCCTTCCTGCAGAGCAGGGAGCCTGATGCGGGGCTCAATCCCAGGACCCCAGCTGGGACCATGACCTGAGCTGAAGGCAGAAGCTTAACAACTGAGCCACCCAGGCACCCCTAAATACTGTTTCCTGAGAGTCTTTATGTTCTTGGTTCTGTCTGACTGGTTCTGTAATATTTATTTAGAGGAACCCGCCCTGCCATTTGGCAACAGAGCCCAAAATAAGAAGTTTTATAGCTATAGAGAAGAAATATTTCCTTGCCTGGCTACATATAATCCAGTTTTGTCATTTTCCTCCTTTGGGGCAGTCAGTGTTAGACTTTTGTACCTCTATATGTCCTTGCCACACAAGGTGTTTGCAAAGTGTTGGTCTTCTTTTCCTAAGATGTTGCAATGAGAAAAGATATTGAACACATATACCTCTAGATGTCAGCAAATTCCAAGCCTTGAAAGTTACATAAGCTTTTCTCCTACAAATGCTCCTTCCTCCTCATCCAAACACCAGCCTTCTTTTTTGGTCTCCTCCCTGTGCTTCTTTTCTTGGCTCAGTTCCTCCTCTTCCCACCACACCAGGGGCGAGCAGCCCATCGGATATGTGAAAGCCAGGTTAGCCTCAGCCAACTTCTCTGCAAAGGATCTCGGGGTTCTGCAGGCTGGCCTGGCCCATCTTTGTTCTGCAGGGCTGATCACTGGGCTGGCCTCCGTGTGGAGGCAGAGTGGTGCCCTTGTCCTTGGTGGTAGGGAGGCAGCAGTAGGTTATATATTCAGCTATCTTGTGACTGAATGATACCCTCTGTCTCTACAATCAGCACTTTGTGTCTTCTAGGAGCTGACACCTGCACTGCCAGGATCCCAGATGCTGGGCCTATTTTGGCAGACACACTCCGGAAATTCTTATTCGATCTGGATGTTGATGATGGCCTCGCTGCCATTGGTTACTCCAGCGCCGATATCCCTGCATTAGTGAAAGGAACGCTGCCCCAGGTAAGAGATGCAGGGTGTCTTCACTCCCTTCTGAGAAGCACAAAGCTGCTGGGAAACCGTGGTCCACTGGGGATGTTTTAGGGGAGAGGAAAACCAAGGGGTCCTCCAGCAGCTTTCAGGTCTCCTCCACACCAGAGAGCAGCTCTTCTCTTCCCCTGTGGGAGGGGGCCAGGCTCCCTCACCTTTATATTCTTCCATAAAACTGTGGCTTTTTGGAGCTTTCATGATGTAACTGAAAGGATCTTTTATGAAAACTCAAGGCAAAAACAACCACATTTGTCTTGAGGGTATGGCAAAATTTCCCTTTTTACCATTTCTGCTCTTTTAAGAGTCCACTATAAAACTACCTGAAGCCGTTCCAAAAGGACCACTAATATTATTTTATATTATAAGCGTTATAAATTCCTACTGTTTTGTGGAAAAATAGGCATGGCCTTTAAATCAATACTATTACAAAATCACTTTTTAATGTATCTGGGAGAGTATATTTTATACATATACATATACATACGTATCTGTGTCACTTTGGGTCTTACTTATTTAAATGTCACTAAAGAATTCAAACTGAGCTGCCAACTTTATTGGGTAGAATCATAATAGATGTAGAGTTTCCCCTCCAAGTTTCTTATGAAGAGAATTTACCCTCCCATTGCACCTCTCTTACCTTTTGGATCAGATACCCTTGTGCTGTAGCATCAGACCTTAAAAGGCTACAACCCCATTCGCTGCAACTCACCATAAAATCGCGCCAGAGCCACGAGGTCTCAGGTTTTGGACCACACCGTGCTCACCGTGCCCAGAGTATTCACTTAGTCCTTCTGTCTAAAATGGGAAAGATGTGGATCACTTAAACACTGTAAGGCTCTGAGCGCAAGGCACTGCTACCCAAAGTTAAGGCAAGCATGGATCTATCGCTGACTCTGAAACAGAGTTAACGACTATCCTATCCACCCCACACAGATTCCTGCTTACCCTAAGTAGCAGTGCTTTTCCCTCACCCCACTCTGGTTAAATAAAGGCCTCACACTAGCTTCTTCCCCACTTGGCAACTGCTTAGAATGTTGAAGACCTCACCACTCACATAAGATGATACTTGAACGGATTGGGTTAATAGACTCATGTGTCCTCAGGAGGTAGGTAGGTAATAGCAATGAACAAAGTAATTTAAAGCAGCAGGGAGTGGTGGGGACTTTGGTGAACTAGAAAGCTCATAATCCATCTCACTGGGTGTCTTTTCAGCTACAATGTATTATCCCCCAGCAGAAATTCAGGCCCCAGCGCTGAGCTTCCAATTTCAAAAAAAAAAAAAAATCCACTGGTAGAGTTTCCAATTTCCAACAAAAATCAACAATCTGGATGTTTGTATTGTATTCCCTGATTACCCACTGTACAAACCAAACATGGCCCATGGGCCGGCAGGTTCCCTGATTTAGACTCAGACCCGGTAGCCTCAGCAGCATCTAAAAATATAAATGAAGGAGAAAAAGAAACATCTCAAAGTGTAGCTGAGCTCTTAGGCTAACTCACAAACTCTTAGTTCTAAGCAACAAGTCCAAGGGACTAAATAGCCAAAAAATATGACCAACACAGTTATCTTATCCAAACCTACGAGGTTATTAATTCCATGAGTACAGGGTCATGTTTTCCTCACCGGTCCTCGACTGCACCGAGCACAGGCTAGTAAACGTGTTAAATGGACACATACCTGCAGCCCTGCAGCCCTCTCTCTTCCAAAGCCTTCTGTGCAGGTGTGCGTAATGGCTGAATGGCGGTAACTTTTTCAGAAGTTTCCTTACACTTGATAGGACTCACCTAATGACAAGAAGCCATGAAAGCCTGTCCAGGGATTCAGAGACCAGAGACCAAACAGTCGCCATGGTTTTTGACATGGCATTTGGCTCCTAGCCAGTGATAGTGTCCGTTCTGCAGGAGGGGTTCTGAAAAGTTCTGCTTACTCAGGTATGTGTGTTTGTCAACCTGCAGGGATGGTATCCATGATTTTCAGACAAAACCGTGTGATATTCTTGGCCATTTCATTGCTAGTGGCAACGCATCTTCCAGCCACCAGCACATGCTGCAAAGTGTTTACTGTTTAAATTCCAGTGTGCTCAGTCTTTTACTTTCAGAAACTGTTCCAGGTAGCAACAGATCCAGACTAACCTTTGAGACCATCCACTAAAATGGCAAGTTAATTAGGTATCATATTAAATGCCTCAGTGCACATACCATCCCGGGGAAATCACAGATAGCAAAGCCTTAATTAGACAAAACTAATTTCTTAGTTTCACAAAAGATGCAAGGTAAATTGGATCTTTTGAATACAAGTCATCTCTGTAGAGGAGGAGGCCAGGATCTCCTCAAGCTGTATTCAAAAGGCAGCCCCAACATGAATTGCTGCTTTTTTAATCATGTGCCTGTGATTGGGAGAAGCATAGTTAATTTTAATAAACTAGCACTAGTTCCATTTTGGAGTCCATGTAATTGAGTCAATGTGTTGTATATATGGAGAAGGCAGGAGAGATTCACAGGACTTTGGGAGGAATCTTAGCAATAAGCCTGTCTGTTTTGCAGATGAAGAACTACTATGGGTTTTTTGTTTGGTTTTTTTGGCAGCAGTGAACATTTTACAGGAATGCTATGGCAACTTCAGAATTTTACAAATGCAGCAGGCTAATCTTCACTTATTAGTATCTACAGGATTTAAGGTAGTGAGAGGGATAGGTTGGTTGCTGCAAAGAGTATTGCCAGAGAGATTATTTATGTGGTCGACATTTGATAAAGCTCCTTTTATGTTCAGCAAGAGGGATCAGTTTTCTCTGGAAGGCACAACCGGGCCAGTATTCTTGACCAAACGCCACATCCCATACTGATGGTGGCAACAGCAGCCCTGTGTACAGAGGCTTCCAACCGCCAACGTCAGGCTGCAAGGCAAGCAGGCAAGAATAAATTAATCTTCCCAGCGGGGTTCCTGAAACCTCTGGAAAAAAACATTTACATTTCAAATCAAAACATTTCATTTCTGAGGAGAGCTGTCTACCAAAATGAGCACTTCCACTCCCTGGCAGACAGGCCAGCCGAAATGTTATTTTATGAATGTGCTAAAAGTAGTAGTCAGGATTTATTTCAGTGCCCATGTTAATCAGTTGTCCCTCGGTCTTACACGTCTATAAATGATAGCGCATTGCTGAACACATCTTAATTCAGGGAGTTTAGCTTTTACATGGTATAGATGATATGAGTGGGGATAGATCACAAACTTTATGTCCCTGTCCTCGTTTAACCTATCCTGGGGTATTAGAAATGTGAAAGAGAAACTCAGATCAGCTTGGCCTGACGTACTTCTGAGACTCCTGAACCACTTCATCAAAGATGAACAGGATCGTTTTAAGGGCCTCTGAGCTCATCAGAGAAGATTCTCTCCTGTTATAAACAGAACAATGTGGCAGGACTTGGCGGCCATAGCAAATGCTAAACTTTGGTTCTTGACCCTGCGGCCAACACAGATGTAAGTCTCTGCCTTGCTATGCTTTTCCAAAATTCTTTAGTCTCTGAAGATCTGCTGCAGTGTAAAATTTTTGGTTTTACCCATGCTCTTCAGCATGTCCCCCCATCCTTCTCCCATCTGTCCATCCATTCTTCCTAATTATTTTTTTAATCATGGTAAAATATACTTAACATAAAATTTACTATTTTAACCATTTTTTTAAGTGTACAATTCAGTGCCATTGAGTACATTTAGTATTGAGCAACCGTCCCAACTATCCATTTCCAGAACTTCTAAACCATTTCAAATAGAAGCTCTGCTCTATTGCTTAATAGTGAAATAGTAACTCCCCTTTTCCAGCCCCTGAGAACCTCTACTCCACTTTCTGGCTCTATGAATTTGCCTCTTGCAGGTACCTCATATAAGAGATACAATATTTGTCCTTTTGTGTCAGCGTAATGTCTTCACTTAGCATAAATCTTTAATGTGTCTGAATTTCATTCCTTTTTATGGCTGAATAATATTCCATTGCATGGATATACCACCTGTTGCTTATCCATTCATCTGCAGATGGACACTTGGGTTGTTTCCATCTTCTGGCTATTGTAATGGATAACCTTCTGGCTATGAACATTGGTGTACAAAAATATGTTTTAGTCTCTGCTTTCAGTTCAATTGGTTATATACCTAGAAATAAAACTATAGGATCATAGGGTGATTCTCTGTTTAACTTTTTGAGGAACTGCCAAACTGTTTTCCATAGAGAATGCATCATTTTACATTCCCACCAAGAATGCATGAGGGTTCCAATTTCTCCATATCTTCACCAAGATTTCTTATTTTCCATTTTTTGGATAGCTATCCTGATGGATGGGAAGTGAGAACTCACTGTGGTTTTGAAGTGCACTTTGCTAATGACTAAAGATGTTGAGCATCTTTTCATGTGCTTACTGGCTATTTATATATCTTCGTTAAAGAAATATCTATTCAAGTCTTTTGCCTATTTTTGAGATGGTTTGTTTGGGGTTTTCTGCTGTTGAGTTGCAGTAATTATTTATATATTCTAGTTATTAACCCCTCATCAGATCTATAATTTGCACTTTTCTCATTCTGAGTTGTCTTTTCAACTCTCTTGAGAGTGTCCTTTGATACATAAAACTTTTAAATTTTGATGTAGTCCAATTTACCTAATTTTGTATTGCCTGTGCTTTTGATGTCATATCCAAGAAATTATTGCCAAATCTAACATCATGAAATTTTCCTCTCTTCTGTTCTAAGAGTTTTGGTTTTAGCTCTCAGATTTAAGTCTTTACATTTAGGCCTATTTTGAGTTAATTTTTTAAATAATTCTTCCTATTTTCATTCTTCCTTTTACCTTACAAATACTTATTGAGGTCCTACTACATACCATATAGTATACAAGGACACAAGGAAGAGGAAAATAAAGTCTCTTCACGCCCTTATGGAGCTTACATTTTAGTGAGAGAAGACAGATGATAGGCATCTAATCAAATATAAATAAGATACAAGTGAAATCATTCCAGATAGTGATTAGTGGTATGAAGGGAAACCTGGATAATGAGATAGTGATTTCACATGGGACAGTGTGGCAGGAACTCCAGCAAGGGTGGTCAGAGAGGCTTCTGACTACAGGTGAAGGCAGCCACATTAAGATCTGGGAACAGCACTGCAGGCAAAGGGGAAAGGCCCTGAGACAGGGTGAAGATGAGCATTTTCGTGGGACTGAGAGGGGATGGTGGGGCTAAGTGAGATGAACTGATGGGAGAAGAGTCAGAGCTGAGGTGAGCAGCAGGGCCAAACAGTGTGGTATTGGAGGCCATGGTCTTGTCATTGCAATGGGAAGTCCGCAGAGAGCATTAAGCAAGTAATGATATGAACAAATTTACACTGGGAAAAAGTTATCACTCTGGCTGCTGTGTGAAGAATGGCCTCTAGGGGGAGAGAGTAGAGCAAAAGTGGAAACAGACTTTTGGAGGGGGGTAGTCAGGATGACTTAGACTTGGGTTGTGGCGGAACAGGAGGTGATAAGTGGTCAGATTAGGGATTTGCTCTGGAGGTAGATCTGACAAGTTTGCTGGTGGATTAAACTTGCAGAGAAGGGAAAGAGGAATCAAGAGGACTCCTAGGCTTTTCCCTGAGTGACTGGGTGTCACTGCTGAGATGAGAAAAATGGGAGGCAGGTGGAGTCAGAGTTCTGTCTTGAATATGTGAATTTTGAGATGCCAATATCCCCCTCCCACCATTTTCATTAATGCAACAAATAACTGTTAAGCACCTATGTACTGTGTGTTGAGCACCCGAGCAGACACTGGGCATGAAGAATGCGCACAGCCCTGCCCTCATGGAGCTGCCTCATCTACTAGGTATGCTCCCACACAAGTACTTAGCGTAAGAAAACAAACCAAGAGACCCGTGAGAATGGAACCAAAACTGGCATATATCTTAATTTCATTGAGGCCCAGAAATTTGGACACAGGGTAGTCATTGTAGTATCTTTTAATCTCCTGTCCCACTGGGATTAAGGAGACACTGATGGGGGTATAAATAGCAATAGGGTGTGCCATCTTTGCTGACTCCACCCAAAAACACTGGAGAAATTGAGCAAGTCACTGAATTCATTTAGGAAGGTAGAAGTAAAACCTTAGTTAATATTAAAAAGGAGTCACTTGTTGTCCTTAGCATGAAAGCTGATGTCCTAATGAAGTCTTTTTGAATATATTTTCAGTCCAAGTTGCAAAATATACAGTCTTTGAAGTGAAGGACAAGCTGCTTCTATTTTCCTCAGCAGCACCTGCTGTACCTGGGACAACGCTCTCTGCACAGAGAGCCTACCTGGCTGAGGCTCCGCCCAATGCTGTTTGGTCATTATAGCAAGTGTTTTGCCCGAGGATCGTTTGGTTCTGTACTTTGGGCAGAAAGCTATTGCCAGAACATAAGGCAAAGGCAATGGCTTTTGAAAGCTTTGTGGAAAAGAGGCATCATTTGATGAACTTCTGAGTGGGGGATCAGCTAGTATGAAGCAAACAAGAAATGGGATTTTTAGGGCGCCTGGGTGGCTCAGTTGGTTAAGCGACTGCCTTCGGCTCAGGTCATGATCCCGGAGTCCCTGGATCGAGTCCCTGGATCGAGTCCCTGGATCGAGTCCCGCATCGGGCTCCCTGCTCGGCAGGGAGTCTGCTTCTCCCTCTGACCCTCCCCCCTCTCATGTGCTCTCTCTCATTCTCTCTCTCACAAATAAATAAATAAAATCTTTAAAAAAAAATTGGATTTTTAAAGATAGGACTATTAACAAGTCATTGATTCTTATGGCCAAGTTAACTTACATAACCTAGTCGCTTTTACAAACTATCTTTTCAAAGTCCTGGGTAAATCCTTTTGTTTACTGTTTCAGGAAAGGGTCACCAAGCTTGCACCACGCCCTCAGTCAGAAGAGGATCTGTCTGCTCTGTTTGAAGCTTCAATGAAATTGTATTAATATTCATTCTTACTGAAAGAATTACCACTGGCCATCATAGTCCTGACAAGAGAAGCCAAGCTAGCCAGAACTTTGTCTTTTCATCTCCACATATAACATACCTGTTACCAGTCTGAATGTGTTATAAATTTATCCTGCAGAAGATTCCCTGATGCTCAAAGTCAAGCTACTTCCATAAAATAGTGGGAAAATACCCACTATGTCGGACCTTGAGCGAGACTTTAGGGATCCGTGTTCCTGTCCCAAACCCCACAGATTGCCACTGCTCTATTTATCAAATGGGCAAAAACTCAGTATCTATCAAAAACATAAATGCACATATCCTATGCCCAGTAATCCCCAGTCTAGAAATTTATCCTATAGAAATACTAGCACAAGTGTGTTAAGAAATATGGCAAGGATAAACAAATAATACATTATGTTAAAAAAAAAGAGAGAGAGAGAGAAGAAGAAGATAGTAGGAAGGGGAAAATGAAGGGGGGAAAATCGGAGGGGGAGACAAGCCATGAGAGCCTATGGACTCTGAGAAACAAACTGAGGGTTCTAGAGGGGAGAGGGGTGGGAGGATGGGTTAGCCTCGTGATGGGTATTAAAGAGGGCACATATTGAATGGAGCACTGCATGTTATACGCAATGAATCATGGAACACTACATCAAAAACTAATGATGTAATGTATGCTGACTAACAAAGTTAAAAAAAAAAGAAATATGGCAAGGATGTTTCTGGCAGCACATTTCCTAATAAAAAATCTGAAAGAACCTAAATATTCATTAATAGTATAGAGATAAATAAATCATAGTATATTAAATAATGGAATGCCATAGTGCTATAAGAATGAGATAAATCTATTGGAAATATGCCCATGATATACTGCTAAATTGGAAAAAAGCAGAACAATTATATATTTGTATGGTCTGATTTTTACTTATTAAATTATATATAAATATATGTCTAGAGAGAGAAAGGATACACATCAAAATATTAAAAGTTATCACTGGAGGGGCGCCTGGGTGGCTCAGTCAGTTAAGCGTCTGCCTTCGGCTCAGGTCGTGATTCCAGGGTCCTGGGATCGAGCCCCACATCAGACTCCTTGCTCAGCAGGGAGCCTGCTTCTCCCCTGCCTGCTGTTCCCCCTGCTTGTGCTTGCTCTCTCTTTCTCTCTCTCTCTCTCTCGTTCTGTGTCAAATAAATAAAAAATCTTTGGAAAAAAAATAAAAGTTATCACTGGAGAAATGGACTTTGGGGTATAGAGAATTAAGAGAAAATATTTCACTTTATATTTTATACTTCCCATTTTTATTTCATAAACATCTGTATTGTTTGGATTTGTTACAAGCCCATATTTTCTGATTTTAAAAGGGCCAAAAAAAATAAAGGGGCCAGAGAACAGAGAAAAATACCACTTTATTGTTTTAGGTCAGATTCATCTTAATTTATAAAAATACTAATAACTAATATTTAAAGATTAAAATAGACCCAAAGAGGTAAAATATTAGGGACTGATCCTCAAGTAAATAGTTCTTTTGAGAAAAACACTAACATCCTACATGGTAATTCCCTCTTTGGAAAGATGTGTTCGGTGCTCAAAATAAATTAACTCAAAAGCAAGCAGTGTTGTAGTTTATAGACTTCAGCCTTGCAAGTAGAATCTAAGTAGCATAATCTCTGTTATCCCCAGCCTGCAAAAATTTCTACAGCTCATTTCTCCTCATAAACGTTACCACACTGATTTTTTTTTTTGCCTGCTCCAGCTTTGGAAGTCTGGATCTCAGTGTACTTGTGGATTTATTCATGTTTTAAACTGAATTAAAGTTTTAATTGAATAAGTAATGTATATATAATTACATCAGGATTTTAAAAAACGGAAGAGAAGTGCATTACTTGCCTTCAAACTGGCCAGGCCCACTTTATCTGTATCAAGGTCTTTATTTCCTTGAGATCTTTTAAATAACATTGAGATAATGTTTATAGAGGTTTCTCTAACTTTATAAACATAAAATGTGGTCAGTACCAAAAACTGGTAATACAAACACAAAAGAAAATATCTGATCATATTGCACCATCCAGAAGACAGCCACTATTAAAAATTTGGTTTATGTTTTTTTATTATATGCATGAATATATTTTTGACATGGAAATGATATCATTAGGGTATAGTTTTAATTCCTACAGAACATTCAAATTATTTATACCAAGTACCCAAAAGGCAAGCTTAGGACAGTACCAAAAGAATTTCAGTTATATCTTACAGACCACATCTAGCTAAAATTCCCTCCAGCATTTCAAGAGTATCATGGGTTTTGAAAGCAGAAGCTGTGTGATTGAGCGTACAGCTAAACTCTCTGCCAGTCTGAGATCCTTCAGGAAACTTTAGTAAAAGTTGTTAATGTCTCAAAATACATTTGGCACAGCAAAAACGTATGTGTCTCCCCATCAACCCACCCTCCCAAAAAGTCCAGGTAAGTTCTAGAAATTCTACAAGGTGATGTAGCATCATTAGAACGGCATTAGATTAGGGGTCAAGGGCCGTGGGCTCCACTCCAGTCCCTTAGTCTTTCTTGGGCTTTACTGTATTCAACCAAGGCCTCTTCCACTTTGAAAATGCTATGCCTAGATTTTATGTACTCCATAGTCCTTAATGTGTGATTTTGAGTTTGGGAAATGTAATGTAAAATAATTTGAGACATAAAAATGCATTCTTGATCTCTCTTAAATGTTCGATGCCTTTACTACCAGTAGCCAGATGTCTAAATGTGACTCACCCGGAGGAGTGTTTGGTATTCATACTGATGATGACTCTGTAGAGAAGGATTTAAAGGTCAGGCATGAAGAAACAGATTTAGGAAGGCTTCATGTTTTTTATCTTAATACCCATCATGTTGGTCCTTACAATTTGAGAATATGGAAAAGATGTGTTTCTTGACTTACCAGCTATTAAAAGAATGTGAGATAAGAAATTCAGCCCATTTCTGTAAACCAAACACTTCGATATTTCTGAGACAAGTGCATTTTTCTAAGTCAAATCCTATTTTTTATTGATTACCTTTAAAAGACCAAAAAGTTTTCAAGGGTTATAGCTCCATTTATATGGATTAATTTACTTGCTAAGGCAAGAAAAATTAAAAGAATTGTATTCAAAAGTTTGTCTAATATCACTTTCACAAGACTATCATATTTGGTGAATTTTCACTCAAAATACATGCACATCCCTAACTTGTTTTATGATACAGAATACTAATTTGTTTCAAGTACATCATGTTTATGGTTTTTGTCAAGTGCCACAATAAACAGCCTATTTGTTTTGCACTCCTCTCCCTTCCCCATGCACCAGGAGGGCTGTGCTGGGCTTGGCATTTTTGCATCGCTGTGGACACAGCTGTGGGGTATTTTCCAGTGGTCAGTGAAGTCTGCTCTTGTAAAATACAGACAAGTACAGTATCAAAATAGAGAGCAAAACTTTCTTTCCTGGCCTTTTAACCCTGAGAAAGATTAATGATTGTTTGGATTAGAAACTGTACCCTAATGAGGGACTGTTGCCTCTGGGGAGTGGGTCTGGGAAAGGGGACTGTTCACCTCCGGGTCAACATTGCACATGCTGCCTCGTCTCTGATGACCAGCAACCCCAAGCTGAGACAGCTGCCCAGACCCTCCATCAAACGCCTGACCCTCTGGGAGCTGTTGCGGAGGCCGGCCCACATCCCCGCCATCACCATCACAATGGTCTGCCCAAGGTAGTCTCCAGGGATGAGCTGCACTTTGAATGGGCAGAAATTGCTTCTTGAAGACCTAGGTTGAATTACTGGCAGCTGGGAGTGGGAGGGTCTAGTTTCTGTTGCTATTATCCCACTACACTGTCTTTCTAACCACCCCCAACAACTCTCCGAATAAATGCATCCCCCCGCGCCCCCCCCCCCCGCCCCGGTAAACTGCAATAACTGTTGGTAATTTTATCCCATGTGAAATCCCTCATGAAGCTCCGTGAAGAACAGCCAACTTTAAAGTAACCCTACTTCATTCTTTCTGGCTTTAACTATTGGCTTTTTAATTTGGGTATTTTTAATTGGCTTTCCAACTTATAAAATTGGAAACTGATTAAAATAATCATGAGCGAAAAAGAGAAAATAACTACCATCATGCCATTACCCAAACACAGCTGCTATTATTTGATATACTTCCTTTCCATCTTTTTCATTTGGGTGGTGTAATTTCCAGCTCATTTCCCTCAAGGCATGACAGTTTAAGTATTTTCTACATTGCCACATAATCTTCATAATCATTCTTTTTAAAGGTACACAATGTTTTGTTGAATAGAAATTTAAGCATTTGTCCTTATTACAGGGCATCAAAATTGCTTCCAAATTTTGACCCCTACCAATGATATAGCAATGAATACTGGGTATGTGGCTTTTTTTTTTTTTTCATATTCTAAATTAACTTCTTAGGTTAACTCCAAACTGAATTTTTATATTAAGAGTATGGACATTTTTATGACTTTTGATTCATGCTGTCAAATTGTTTATACGCCACTATTGTCTTAACTTTGTGTCCCCTCTCCTTCAATCTTCTCTTTAAAATAAATAGTGTAAGCCAGCAAGAAATGAAACAGAGCTCACATGGATGACCAGGGGTAGGCTATTTGTACAGACCTGCAAGAGTCACCTTTGATTTTTTTTTTTTTATATTAGTATATCTTAACAGTTCACATGAACAGAAACAGATTAAAATTTTCAAATAAAATTATGAAATTTATTTTAGTGTTACTTAAGTGAAACTGTAGATCACCAAGACTACTTTTGTCGCATTTTTTTTTCCTTCTAGAACCTTCCATGGGACCCTAAACCTATGGGCTTGTGTTATTCACAGTCCCCCTGTTTTCCTGGCCAAAAAAAACAGACCCACGGGGACATATAAATATCCTTTTCTATAAGGCTGTTCTAGAACCATCCAGGCCTGTGAGTGTAAGGATTGCTGCACTGGGAGGAGGTAACCAACAACCATCTCCACCAAGATCCCTCCCAAGGGTCTAAGTTGCCCCTTTAATCAAAAACCTCTCAAATCTTTGCCAGTTATGCACATTGGTCCCATGTGGCTTTGGCAACATTTACTGGAGACCACTGTGAACCATATACCAAGCATTGCATAGGAGAAAAGAATGTTTGTAAAGCAACATACAAATGGAAAGATGTCTAAAGAGTACCACCAGGCTGGAGTGGCCACCTGAGTAAGGACAGGCTAATTTTCATTCATTTTTCACATCTCCTTTAACCACTATATACTCAGTACATAGCTCAGTACCTTAACAAAGTATTTTCCCAAAGGAGGAAGAAGACCATGGATTTGAGGAGAGGAGGATTGGGGTTCTGCAGGCAGGGGTGATTGGGGGGGAGGCTAGGGAATGATTACAGAAACATGACATTTAGTAGTATTTTTTTAGTAATATTTAACCAAACTATTGTCACTTTATAAATATCAACTCTTATGAAATGTGGAGGCCAATTTACTAGGGCATAGCTGGCAACAATAATAAACTAAAGACAATAACAGTTTCATTCTAACAGTTTCAGACACTTTTTTTTTTAAGTAGGCTCCAAACCCAGTACGGGGCTTGAACTCACAACCCTGAGATCAAGACCTGAGTCGATACAAGAGTCTGGTGCTTAACTGACTTAGCCACCCAGGTGACCCTTATAAGTTTCAAATAACAGTCGTTTGCTGGGCCCTCCACCCATGCCAGGCCCTTTATCAAGGGTTTGCCCACTATGAGAGAGGCATTGCTATGTCCTTTTTGCACAAATGAGGAAACTAAGTTAAAAAAAAAACCTGCCAACTTCACACAGCTAGTAAGGGGTAGGACTAGCACTCAATCCGAAAGTCATCTTGACCCTGCTGCATTCCCAGCCACCAAATTCACTGCCTTTCAAGTGCCTTCTGTTGTCTGAGAGCTTCTTGAATTGCATCTAAACACTGTATACACTTGTGTACAACACAATACGTTGAACATAGTAGGGGACCCCTAAGTATTTGTGGAACAGAGGATTCTATTTCATTGAAAGGGAAAAAAGGAGAAGAGAAAAAAGAAGATCCTGCAAGCCTTTGACATGTCAGAGAAAAGTTGAGCTGGCCGTGCTGGTGACCACACAGAAGGGTATTAGAGGAAGGTAAAAGAGCCACCTTGGGGATGAATCCCAGCCCTGCCTCTTACTGAGTAGCCTAGGGTAAAGACTTAGATTTTCTGAGCACAAACCTTACCTCACAGGGTTGTTAGAAACATCAATAGGAAGTAATGTATGCGAAATGTCCTTGCTCAGTAAATGTTACTTCTCTTCCCTTTCCTGAATGGAAAGCTTGCAGGAGGACTTTCACCCCAGCAGCTGACTAGCAGATCACTACAGTGACGCCAGTTGTATACTAAGGACTTCCAAACTTCCCTCAGAACAAGAAGTACCTGGGACGCTAGTTAAAGATATAGATCAGTCCTTTCCTCCTACCCCCGAGAAATTCAAATCTTGTCAACCTGGGTTGGAACCCAGGAGACAGCTGTTAACGTCAGTTTGGTTTAGGAAAGTTAAAACAGCACTTGGGCCTGTTTGGCAGCCTCTTGGCATAGATGGTGACAGAAACAGAGCAGGGGTCTCAACCTTCACTGTGCATCAGAAGCTTCTGGAGGGCTTAGTAAAACATGGGTTGCTGGGCCAGGTCCCCAGAGTTTCTGATTCAGTAAGTCCAGGTGGGAAGTGAGAATCTGCATTTCTAACTGCTTCTCAGGAACCACACTCTTGAGAGGATTGCAATTTTCTCACATTTCAAACTTAGCTGGCTCAGATTTCAGCTGGAATTAGTTCTACATAGTGTGTGGCAAGACCGTGAGCCCCTGGGGAGGGTCAGGACAACACCCGAAACTTACCTCAGGACTCCTCCACCAGACTGGGTACCCACGCCTGAGCGCTGTCCTGCCCCTTCCCCACCATGACCCGCTGGTCCTGCAGCTCCTCCTCGCGTTTCCACCTGATTTTCAGGCTGAGACCTTTCAGGATGTGCCCATCAAAGCCTGAGCAGAAAGGAGACGCTCGCTTAGGACTCCAGCCTTGGTGGTATTTGCTTCAACCATGAGGATACTATTAAAAAGTATATCAAGTACCAGAACACCAAGTTTCATTTCAGTATAATCGGTATAAAGAATGTAAGACGCCCAGCTAGGAGGTTACCAGACTAATAAAACTGTTCTGGCTAATCTGTTTAAAAAAGAAACTAGCGGCGCCTGGATGGCTCAGTCCGTGTCCAACTCTTGATCTCAGTTCAGGTCTTGATCTCTGGGTCGTGAGTTCAAGCCCCACATTGGGAGGCTACCTAAAATAAAAAAGAAAATGAAAATCCTCCTTGTTATATTCCTATTTTAAAAGCTATGTTGTGAAAAGTTTCCATTCTAACGTGGAAAAAAGGGATGTAAAAAAGAGTGAATACATGTATAGCAATGCCTGTAATTACTGGTAAAGTAGCTCCTTGGATACAAATCAAACAAACTATGCTTCAAGGGCAAAAGCGCCAAGGTGAAGAAAAGGACAGCTACTTACACCCAGTTAGAAAAAGAGAACACAGGGCGCCTGGGTGGCTCAGTCCTTCAGCGTCTGCCTTCGGCTCGGGTCATGATCCCAGGCTCCTGGGATCGAGCCCCTCATTGGGCTCCCTGCTCGGCGGGAAGCCCGCTTCTCCCTCTGCCACTCCCCCTGCTTGTGTTCCTGCTCTCGCTGTCTCTCTCTGTCAAATAAATAAATAAATAATCTAAAAAAAAAAAAAAGAAAAAGAGAACACAGCGGTCCTGCTGCTCACTCAAAGGCACCACAGGGCTCCCTGTTCGGGCTCTTCTTGTTGACACGCAGCATTAGCTCCCTACCATATGCCCTTGCTAGCCTTAAAAAAATAAAACTGCCAGTTATTTTACCAGCAAACCGCGGGTTTATTTTGAATGGCAGGGAACCGCGATCAAGGACAAGCAGGCTACCGCAAAACCATAGGCAAGCACACAGACCGAAAGAGAGGAGGGCAGTTGGGAGGGCTGTTATAAACAAAAAGCCCATTGGA